CAAAAGTCGGTGATTTCCTCCTCTAATGAGCATTGAGAAGGTGCCTATTTACAGCCCCTGGGCCAATGGTGTCAATTCCACATTCATAGGGCAGGGGCAAGTCTATTCATCGCTGCAATGCTCATTTTACCGCCCCCACCGAAAAGGGCCACCTCCACACCCAACCAGGATTTGAACTCGGCAACCTCCCGATGGCGAGCTGCTTGCTCTCATGCATTGAGATTATTTAGATTATTTTGTCGTTATAAATTTCCACATGATGAGCCGCTTTATTGAGCTATCATTTGTGGCCAAGTCGCTTCTGAAAAATAAGTGGATACCTCAGTGGGCTTTACCTGGTAAGATAAATATAATTTTGTTTAATTTGTATATATTTTTTAATTACACGTTTACCTTTCCTATAATTTTCACTCCTTTCTTGTGTTTGTACTGTTTGTTGTAAAGTTCTGACCCTCCCCCCACTGGACATCGACGAAGTAGCTCATCGGATTCCTCCAGTATAAATGAATATTCTGATTCTGTGTGTTGTGCCGGTCCTAATAGGCGCTCGCCAACAGTACTTGGCTCAACGCTCAATACATTTGTACCTGGGCTGCTGGTGTGTGTTTCTCTGTAATGGGCTCCTATCGATAGCTCTGTTCGTGTTGAGTGTAGCAGAGCGTTTGAATTACGCTCGCGTTGCGGAGTCGTCTTTTCCTGTGAAGTTCCCTCCCCAAATCTTATCTCGGTTGCGCCATCGGCATCGCACGATGGGGACGAGGAACGAATTTGGAAATCTCGTGGAGCATTGCATCATCCCCGTGTTAAGGAATCGCCCGCAGAAGCAGATATCACAGAACTACGTCTGCAGAGAAATGTTCATCTCATCTTCTTGGCTCTTTCGGTTAAAGTGACGTAGAAAGGGAAATAATAAAATAATAAAAATAAAACATTCTCACGACGTTTCGGCCACAACGCAAGCAGCCGTCCTCAGGTGAAGAACAGGGCTGTCGGAAAGACAGCGTCTGAATGGCTTTCCGACAGACCTGTTCTTCACCTGAGGACGGCTGCTTGCGTTGTGGCCGAAACGTCGCGAGAATTGTATTTTATAATGTTTTATTTTTATTATTTTATTATTTCCCTTCTACGTAACTTTAACCGAAAGAACCAAGAAGATGAATCCCTGCAGTCACGAAAGCTTTAAATGTTCATCTCATATTGATTTATTTATTTGGAGCTGGAATTTAGCCTGAATGTGTCAGGTGGGTACAGGTGTTTGTGTAAAGTTTTAGGGAAGTGTCCACACTTCGCAACGAGAGAGGGCGTGATTGTGGCCGAGTATGGTCATGCCGCTTCCACTCCACTCATTAAATAACACTGGTCAACACACTTTTGTCTGGCATAAGGTATTCCAACTGTCTTAAGGTAATTTTGGGGTGCTGATTCCAAATCCGGCATCAGTTTTTTTCTATCACATTTTTTGAGATATCAAATATTGCATTTTCAATAAAAACTGCAGAAGAAAAATATTAAATAAATGTGGATATCTACATAAAATGATATTATAAACACACTATCCTAAAATACAGCACCATATTTTAACACTAAAGCAGTCACTGACTCGCAACAACTTGCAATCATAAGTGACAGAGTTAATTTCGGGTAAAATCAATGAAAATGGGGTTTGCCGATAGCATAAAAATGAGATGTGATAGAGCAAATCTGAGATCAGATTTGGAATCGGCACCCTGAAATTAGTCTAAAACAGCTGCAAACGTCCAGGCCAGAAAATTTTTTTTTTTTTTTGACCAGTGTAATAGAAAGATAATGTCGCTTGACTTAACCAATGTTTTATTTCAGGTGGTAAGGCCCACTGAGTTATCTAGCTCTTTTCTCGGAAACGACCTGGCTATCACAAGTGATAGCTCAACAAAGTGGCTTATCGCGTGTACATTTGTAGCAGCCAAATTGCTCTAAAACACATGTTTCTAAATGTGGAGGCAGAAAAAAATCTCCACGACCACGGGAACAACATGCAAACTCCAAACATGCAACACGCGTCAGGGTCGGGATTAAACCTACCGCCTCCTGCATACCAGGCAAGGGAGTTAACTTTTCGCGACCGCGGCGCCCCTGTTTCAGAGTTTAGACCTCTGCTGCTGCCAAACAGAAGCTGGTGATGTGAACACCGATCAGGTGGGTAAAAGAAACTCGCCGAGCCCTCCGCACAACTGCCCGATAACTCACGGCTGAGGTCGGCAACATTAGATGGCACGCGCGAGGTGATGCTTAAACTTATTTTTAAAGCCAATAGCTATAGTTAACTTTTTTTCCAGCCCCTACCGATTTATTGTAATGTCCTGTGTCAGCGTCACGTCACGAGACGTTTCAGCGGACATGAATCACCCTCGGGGCTGCGAGGTGGCCAGATTGCAGTACAGCAAGTGTACTTTGTGGAAACCCGTTTGTGCACATTTCTAATAATTTTCCCCCCTTTTGTGGGTGGAGTGGTGGTGTGAAGTGGTGAGCGCACGACACTTTGAACCCAGCTTGGCGTGTGGTGGGGTAAACGTGTGGGCTCTGGGACAGCCACTTAAGTGGAGGCTGCTTCCTCGAGCAGTCGCGTGGGCGAGCAATTGCAGGGCTGCACCTTTACCTTCGTCATACTTTTCTTGTCAATGTGCCACCGCAGAGAATGTCGAGTAGCAGCACATGTTACTAAAGCAAACCGCTGCAAGGCGTTACTAATACGGCGCTGGATAAGCGACATTGGGTGGAGCGTTTGGGCTGTGGTTTTAGGGCACCGCGCTATAAACCCAGCGGCCCGAGTTCAATTTCTCGTCCACGGCTGACATCGGACGCGAGTAGTATCCAGACGTGGTTTATTCGCGGTACGACTTACATCCGTCGCCAGTTGCGATCTCTCAAGAGTCTCCGACAAGGCCATCGAGAACCTCCGTTCCCCTGAATCTGACCCCCTCCCTCCCCCCCCCCGTGGGGTGCCTCAGCAGTTTCGCTTTGCTGCCAATCGATAAACGCGTTCCGCAGCCTCTTGCGTAACGCGTACCCCCACTGACGAGACGGGAGGCAGAGGAAAACACGTGCGGGCACCCGTGTTGTCCTTGCGGTGCCCTCCCTCCCTCCTCTGCCACCGCCGTGCCGTGCACCCTGGCGCTGGCTGGCGCGGATCGCTGCGGCGTTGCGCAAAAAAAATGCGCGCGTGGCCCCGGTGTTTGCCCTCCGCGGGAACGCGGGCGGCACAACGAGAGCCCGGGTCCAAAGGACGCTCGGGAGCGAGGAGTGGGGATCGGAGTTGGAAGCGGAGTGGGGAGCACAGTGAGGAGATGAGTGGGGAGAAGAGTGCGGAGTGGAGTTGGGAGGAGAGTGGGGGAGTGGAGCTGTGGGTGGTTGGACAGAGCAGTGTGGGGTGCGGTGATGTCTGGGCGAATTGGTGTGAATGAGCAAGCGGCTAAAGTTGATCTCAAGGTGAGTGGATTGAATGGGTAGTACCTTCACGTGAGCGGCTGGAGAGCGGGTATCACATGGTGAGTGGGTGGGTGGGTGACCAATATGGGAGTTTCAGAGTTTAGCACTAGAGTGGGCAACTTAGGCTTGCACGTTGTCCCTGTTGCACGAGTGATTGCCCGCCCCCCCCCCCCCGTCCACCATCACCCCCACCCCCCTTTTTGGATGATCGGGCGACTGTTGAGAATGGACCAATGACTTGAGTCAGCCGTTCTGTCCTTGCGAGTGACCGGGCGATGATCGACAAGCTCACGTCATGAGTCACTTGGTAATTTCGCTCCGGCTTCCGTCAAGCGTCACCTTCACGTGCGTCCCTCCCATCGCGCAACTCGCCTCACCGGTTCTGCAAAACAATTTACAACACGACTTGGTTTAATGTGAATAAATAAATATATAGCGCCAAAATGCGAGCACATCTCAAAATGCTTTACAGAAACTCGCAGATTATTTATTTCATAGAGATTGCCCATTATAGGCAGAGGGAAATAGGAAGATCCCTATATGAGCTTTGTGGGTCTCGATGTGAGTCTATGGGTCTCTGTGACTTTGGAACGCTATCTGAATCCTTGAATTTCTGAGCAAGCTTATTAGTCTCGGTAAGTTTGTTCTAGTTGAGTGTATGGGTCTTTATGTAAGTGTATGAGTCTTGCTCTCAGTATTGGGTCTTTATGGAAATCTGTGGATTTCTTCCTCTTAATGAGTATATGGATCTGGGTGAGTGTACAAGTCTATGGGGTCTGTGTGTCACAGGGGAGTGGTGCGCTACGAATTTGATGACTTGAGTTCGATTCTCGCTCACGGCCAACACCAGTGACGATTATTTGAACCGGTCCTGGGCCTCCCCGAGGTTGACTCAGCCTCAAATGAGTACCTGGTGCGATGTGTGAATATCGCCACTCGGGAAACAAACCCGGCTCGACGTGGACCCGGCCACCCACCCCCTCATGTTCCTTTCTGGCCTTCTTAGGTGCTGACCAAATGCACTTGCCCCAATGGTTTGTTAAGGCTATAAGGGGGATCTTTGTCTTGGTTTGTGTCTGTGGGGTCTTTACCCTTCTGTGACTTACGGGGCAGTGGAAAGGGGGAGGGTTTTATACTGTAAATGTTTTATGACTTGTTTCCATTAATACATTTTTCAATAGCAATTCATTTTATTACCGTTCTGTGCATAGTTATAAAACCATCTCTCCCACAGGCCGGGTCTTGAAGCTGAACAGGGCGGATTGGGGTTACGACATGAGAGCTCTTGGTAAAATCCGTCGATCACAAAACCATCGCGTTCTAACGTCAGGCCATCAACCGTTTCTCTCTGCAGCAGGACGGCGACGATGACAATGACGACAGCGGTGGCGTGTGATAGCCCCGCCAAGCTCGACTTGTTGCATCGGCTGCAGAAGGATAGAGGTTAATGACGATGGCAACGGCTGATAAGCAGCAGGAACCCACCGCCCCCTTGCCCCCCCCACTGATTTCAGCCTGTGTCGTCTCGTCCGCAGAGGTGCCGTGGAGGTGGCGTCGCCTCGTGTATGGCCGTCCTGCGCACAAGCGACAGCGGATTCTGCCAAGCGCGGTACACGGCGCGCGCACGAGTGTGAGCAAGCAGCGCTGCCACAGACAGGGGGCCCCCGTCGGACGGAATACAACCCTCTCTCCCATCCGTCCGTCTGCCCGCCCGTCTGTCCGTCCGTCTGTCCGACAGACCGACCGACAGTCAAATTAATCCGCAGCCATCGGTCACCGTGTGCTGCCGGTACAATAAGCTAGCTCTGCACATGGGGTAAACTGAACACGGTGAGCGCCGGAGAAATAATTTTATCGAGAGAGGAGAGTTTGAGTGGGGCAGCCAGAGGGGGCCAATGAGAGAGGAGGAGGCGGCGCTGGCAGGTATCGCGTGAGCCGCCCGGGCGGCAGGAGCGAGGAATCCAACGGGAAATCTCCCCTCCCCCGTTAACCGAGCAAATTTAACAAAAAATAAACTTTCAACAAAGCTGCAAGAGACGAGAAAAAACCGAGCAACGGTGCACGTACAGTGGCCATTTTTAGTTTTCTTCTTCAAGACAAATATATACGTTAAAAAAAAAACAATCGGCCCGCGAAGAAAAAACAATTGAAATTGTAACTATTAAACAAAAAAGAAAAGCAACATTTTAAATTGAGCCGAAGTTTGTTGGAGAGGTTGGCGGGAGGAAGCAGACGGAGAAGGGGGAGAAGGGGGGTGATTTCGTACGTGCGAGCGGTGGCCGTGGAATGGCCAGGATGAATCGCCTGGCGCCCGTGGAGCTGAGCTACAAGAACATGCGCTTCCTCATCACCCACAACCCCACCAACGCCACGCTCGACAAGTTCATCGAGGTGAGGGCGAGCTGCGTGGAGCCGGGACACACGGGGCCAGCCCCTGGCGTGCCCCCTCGGTCGGAGGTTTCGATTTGAGTGAAGCACGCAACGAGCTTTTTGTGTGGGAAGAGTTGGCGAGGTTCAAATGCGGCCCGGGAAAGTTAACTCATCACAGGTCATCATTGTTGCCATCATTGTTGTCATCATTGTTGTCGTCGTCATCATCCATAGTCATTAATCATTAAAGTTATTCTATTCATTGTTATTGGCATTATCATCATCCATTATTGGCATCCGTAATCGTCATCCATCGTCGTAATCGTGGTCATTGTCGTTGTCTCCACGGTTGGCCAAGGCGGTCGTGCCACCTTGTGGGAAGACAGCAGGCGTTGTTCTGTGCATTGCCTGGCGCCCGCCATGTCAATGTGCAACTTTAGCACTGCTGGCTCATTGCCACACGTGGAAATTGGTGCCGCTCCCACGCTGCGTTTGGGCAGAGACAATTTGAGTTGTATTGTATTTCCAGATGATGCCATCAGCCCAATTGGAACATTGTATCACACCGTGCCAACCAGTCCATTAATTGAGCTTGGTATAGTTTTGTTAAACGTAACTTCTCGTCAGCTGTTTTTGTTGGGTTTACGCCTTTAAGCTTGGCTATCGAAGCCAAACTTAAAGGCAGCCAGCTGCCCTTCTGTTGCGTACGGCTCTTGACGTACCGCGGTCGGATTGTTTTTGGCGCCGAGTGATGGGAGGAGGAACAACACGTGGCTTAAGAGAACGTCTGCAAGTTAAAGAGATGTCACATGGGCCATTAAGACGAGGGAGCGGGCTTGGGCCGAACACGTCGTGACTTGACAGGATGGCGGTCGAGACTGACGATAGAATGGCAGCCAAAGGAGGGGGACGACCGCCGCCGTGGAGACGGAGCAATGAGCTCGGCTCGTGTGTCGCCGGTTGCCAGACAGATTTTTACTTCACAGGGCCATTGGAAGGCTTTAATCCAGCAGTGGGTTTAACCTTGGCTGATGATTATTAGTTGCGTGGCTCGCTGGTGCAGTGGTATCGCTCGTCCCTCACAGCAAGAAGGGGCCTGGGTTCCGAAATGTGTATGTTCTCCCTCCTGTTCTGCATGGGTTTCCTCCGGTTTCTCCACTCTCCTCCCGAAGCTGATAAAACACACACACAATGTAACAGGTATTGGGTCACAACAATAACTCAATTGGGATTACACAGCAGCAAAATTGCCCCCCTGCTGCAGAAACTTAGCAGGACCCTCCTGATAAAAGAAATTTTTTTTATTATACCAGTTAATACGGCTCACTTAGCTATATAGCTCTCTTTCAGAAGCGACCTGTCCACAAATGATAGCTCAACAAAGTGGCTTGTCATGTGGAAATTAATAGTAGCCACATACTCTAATCGCAACATTGGTTCTAAATGTGAAGGGAAAAACTGGAGGACCTGGAGAAAAATCCACACGGACCATGGGGAGAACATGCGAACTCCAAATATACAGCAGGTGTCAGTGTTGGGATAGAACCCACGACCTCCTGTATACCAGTAGAGGTCGTTAATATCTCGGCACCATGGCACCCCATTGAAGAGTCGTCTTGAGCCCAGAGGTTGCAAACGGGTTTTGATTCCTTACCCGTACCCGGCCGCACCAGGGTCGCAAACGGGTATCCGTACCCGGCCGGGTACAGGTAGCTGGGTATCGGGTAGGGTACGGGTATCGGGTACCCGGTTGCGACCTCTGCTTGAGCCTCAATGAGGCTTTCCTGGGTGTAAACCAGTGTAATCCTTCGCTCGGTGGGAGGTTTTGCTCTCTATCCTCTACTGGCCCCATCTTGCTGGAGCTTCCCTCCCACAGCCACCCTTGATGCTGTTCAAGCCCGGCCTTAAGACCTGACTTTTTAACACGTAGGCTTTCGTGACCAGCATTACGATTCAAAATAGATTTTTGGGTCTGGTCACATGAGTAAAATGCTTGTAGAAAAAAACCCCTCCTCCACCTGACGCAGCCAATTAATGAAGTTTGTTGACGACATCACACCACCTATTCAAGGGCCGAGACTGGAGGACGTTTCCACGATTCTGGAAACTGGCTGATGGTGCTGGTTGCTAATGAACATCCTAGCGTCCGCACCCCGTCGTTTAATGTTGTTGTGGATCTCTCTCCGGTGTTACCGGCGGCATGGCTAAAGCTGTCATAAATGTGGACGTTTTGTTAATCGCGTGACAACTCTAGTAATTGGCCGTGTCAAGTGGGAGGAGGGTGTATGACACGTATTACTCACCCGGCGATCTGACCCAAATATCAATTACGAATTGCCTGACTTGTTCTTCTGTCTTTGACTGACTGTGATAACCGTATAATTCACCCCCCCCCCCCCCAAACACAGGAGATGAAAAGGTACCACGTGGGCACGTTGGTCCGTGTGTGCGAGCCGACGTACGACAAGACGCCCGTGGAGAATGAGGGCATCACCGTGCTGGTATGCCACGCACTCTTGGGCTTCGGCGATAGCAGTGGGCGTCCCGGGGGAGGGGGGGGCGGTGGGAGGCCACGATATCGATTCCCACGGTGATACGATGCGACATCCACGCACTCTTGGGCTTCGGCGATAGCAGTGGACGTCCCAGGGGAGGGAGGGCGGTGGGAGGCCACGATATCGATTCCCACAGTGATACGATGCGATCTCAAATTTCACGACGGGATGATTATCGCGAGATCGTTTCTTTACCCTTCTATCTGGCAAGATAGAAGGGTAAAGAACCAATTATCATATTTTTACTGGCAAATGAGGTCCCCATAGTGTAGATGCTTGCCCCGAGCTCTCATACTCTGATGGTGCATTGTCCTTGAGTTGTGCGCCTTTTGGCGTCATCTGGTCCAACCCATATGAGACTAGGCTCTAAGGAAAGCTGTCTCGGGTGTGGACCAATCAACTTCAAGGACAGTGCACATTATCAGAGTTATGTTCTTTTGTTTGTATTATGACTGCAGGTATTGCGGTCTATGCAAACATGACTCCTTGCAAAAAGGTGCCAGTTTTGTTGCCAGATAGAAGGGTAAAGAACCAATTATCATATCCTGATATCGTTTTACTACAACTCAGCAGTAGTATATCACGTCTTTGGTTTGTATTTAATCAAGTTTGTTATTTCAGAAATATTGTTCCCAGGAAATAATGATTTAAGGTTTCGTCTTCACCCTTGTCTGCCTGAGAATGATGATCATGTGGCATTACCCATGTGTGTATGAAATAGATGTTAATGAGGTTATGTATCTTCTTGGTTCTTTCGGTAAAGTCACGTAGAAGGGAAATAAAATAATAATAATACATTTATATTTTCGTTTTATTTTTTTATTTCATTATTTCCCTTCTACGTGACTTTACCGAAAGAACCAAGAAGATGAATTCCTGCAGTCACGAAAGCTTTAAATCGAAATTTTGAGGTTATGTCTCTATGATGTTCATGGTGTTAACGTTACGTCTGTACGATGTAGACGATCAGGTGGTAGTGCTGCCCCATCTATATGCGTATGATGACGATGATGATGGTGAGGAGGTGGCGGTAGTGGTGCTCGTTATATCAGAATGAGATTGATGACGGTGACGATGAAGTGACCGCGTGGTGACGGCTGCCCTGTGCGTGTTCGCGCGAGCAGGACTGGCAGTTTGACGACGGAGCGTCGCCCCCGGACGGGGTGGTGGACGCGTGGCTCGACCTGCTCAAGGACAAGTTTCGCGACGAGCCCGAGCGTTGTGTCGCTGTACACTGCGTGGCCGGGCTGGGCAGGTGAGCTCACGCACACCCCACGAGCAGCGTGTGCAGCGCGTGCAACACACAGCACGCACACATACACGTGGGGGGATATGGGGATAAGGAGGGAGAAATAACTGATACATTGATATTGTTAGGTTTTTTCGGTAAAGTCACGTAGGTAAAAAATTAAAATTAATAAAAGTAAAATAAAAATAAAATAAAAATCACGACGTTTCGGAGGCAACACAAGTTTCCGTCTTCAGGTGGAACCGTCACAGCACGATAGCTGTATCACTTGGAACCGTCACAGCACGATAGCTGTATCACTTGGAACCGTCACAGCACGATAGCTGTATCAAGTGAGAGAAATTCCAAGAAAACAGTCCTTGTCTATCTATCGTGCTGTGACGGTTCCACCTGAAGACGGAGGCTTGTGTTGCCTCCGAAACGTCGTGATTTTTATTTTACTTTTATAAATTTAAATTTTTTACCTACGTGACTTTACCGAAAAACCTAAGAATATGAATCCTTGCAGTCACGAAAGCTTCAAATCTAGAATTGATACATTGATATATAGAAATGACGATACCAGGGATGTGGGGGAGGACATGGTTACAGAGGCACGGGTGGGATGTAGAGAATGTGGACACAGAAATGGAGGGATATGGAGACAAGACTTGTGGAGACATATTGACACAGGACATATGGACATGACGTTCTGAGTGCTACGCTCTGTGGCGTACTTTATCCTGCGTTGTGCTGTATGCTGTCCTGTGTACTCAACGTGTTGTGTGTGTACCCTGTTTCGTGCGATGCAGGGCGCCCGTCATGGTGGCCCTGGCGCTCATCGAGGGCGGCATGAAGTACGAGGATGCCGTCGAGCTCATCCGAGAGTGAGTGCCGTCGCGAGTGCCAACGAGCACTTCTTCTTGCGTACGGCTGATGTAGACGCAGAGCACCAACGGCAGTGTCACATTCAGGCGGTCAAGCCAGCAGACAAACTGCGTCATGAGCAGCGGAGTGTGTGTCCCTGTAATGTCTCCTTTTGCATTTGTGGGATTGGGCATTGCATCGTTATATTTTTTTATGGTCCGTTTTGGATGACCACAATTGCACATTGGATCGTTTTTAATATTCCATTTGTGCATCAGGTATCTGCATCTGCCGTGGCTTTTTGCAGATGCGGTTTTAGGGTGGACCATGACATGAGCTTCATGGAAGAGCAAACCCAGGGCTCTTGATCTTGCACGAAGCTCATAGTCCACCCTAAACTGCATCTACACTAATGAGCCCTTTCCTAACACTAACATGCCCTAGCAAGCCCCAACGAGTCATATCGTGCCCTAACAAACACTATCGCGTGCTCATGAGCGCTAACGTGCCCTAGCAAGCCTTAAAGAGTCCTATTGTACCCTAATGGGCACACACTGGCATTAGCAAATCCCATCGCTGAGCCGCTCCACACGGGGATGGCGGTTCAATTCCCACTGCATGCCTATAGATCCAGAGCTTTGGAGGCGAGGATTGGTGGACCACAGATTTTGTTTAAACTCCTAAGTTTCCTGCTGGCCTGACATGTGGCCAGGAAGTGACGGTACAGCAAGACGATCTGTGGACCTATCGGTCTGTTTCTCTTGTACCTGTGCGGGGTTCTCGGTGCAATTTGGAGATTAGGTAAATCGATTGTTTGTTTTACATTGCGGTTAATGTAGTGGCCTCCAACTGGCTGGAAGGAGTCACATGAACCAATAATGTACCAAAAAAAAAATTGTAGCACAGCCGCTGAACACTGGCCTAAAACTGCAAGCGGCCAATAACAAACAGAACTGGTGAAGCTGTAAGAGTCACAAAATAAAAAGAGTCACAAGACATTCCTTGAATTAGAACAGTGTCTACGAAGGGATTGCACGGATTTTTACATTACGTGCAATCTGATTCGCGTATTGTTTGCTGAAGACTCGGATATTTCAATGGGTAATTCGATGCATCGTTAAGTCCTCCCCCCCTCCCGCCCCCCACCCTTTTAAAATCCTTTATACTAAGTTCGCTTGCTTGCTTAGGACCGTGCAAATCTTTCGGTCGTTTTTTAACCCACTTCCCGTGATCCAATCGAGCTGACATTTTGCACACAGACTCGTTGTGCGTGACAATGCATTTTAGTGAAAAAAAAATTTCCTAAATTTTACACTGTTTAGGGAAAATTTTTTAATCTTTAATTACCAATTGTTTAATGCTACCAGACAATCATCTGACCCATAGGTGGCAGCCATCTCAAGCCAGAGGACGAGAGGACTCTAGCCGCCCCGATGCCACGCATATAAAGGATTTATAGTGAAAAACTTTGTTTTTACGGGTTATTTTTTTTCTTCCCCCCACCCCACACTCCCTTCCCTCTCCGCCCTCCTGTCCTCCACCCGCACCCCTCAGGAAGCGGCGGGGAGCGATCAACACCAAGCAGCTGCTGTACCTGGAGAAGTACCGCCCCCGCATGAGGCTGCGCTTCAAGGAGACCAACAGCAAGGCCGGCTGCTGCCTGCAGTAGCCGGCACTCGGCCGCGCGGAGAAAATCTCCCGGGAGATCGGCGGAGGGCTTTGCGAAAGTTTCATGAGACCTTCGCCGCGATCGTTTGTGAGAGATCATGGGAGATCGCAGGAGGGGTTGGGTTTTTTTTGCTGCTGCTTCTGCAAAGGGTCGCGCAGAATCTCGTTGGCGACCGCAAGATTCTCGAGGAGAGAAAGATTGCGACGGATCTCGATATTTTTTCACGAGAGTTTTTCACGATCGATTGCGAAAGATCACGGGGGGAGATAGGGAAAGTTTTTTTTTTTCGAGATGTGAACGAAGGAGTTACGTGATGGTTTCGCAATTGGTCGCGAGGGATTTGCGAGAGATCCGTCAGAGATTACAATGATTTGCGAGAAATTGTGAGTTTTCCGGGAGATCTCCGCACACGCCATTGTTGCCAAACAAAGTACCTCCTCCTCCACCTCGTCCACCTCGTCCACCTCGTCCACCTCATCCACCTCATCCCCATTGAGCCAGCCGCCCCCGGTAACTGACGACCCGGCACCGCAGGAGCACAGCGATGCACATCCGTTTCTCGCTTTCTCTGCTCGTTCCTTGATTTCTCTGGACTCCTTGTTCTTAACTGTTGGCTTCTTTCCGTCTTCAGTTTCTACTTCATTCCTCCTGTGCTCTGTCACCTTGCTCTGCTGGCTACTTTCGGCCGCCTCGAACTCTGCTCAACGTCAACTCATCTCCACCTTCTCTCTCGGCCTTCTCAATCTTATCTTCTCAGATGTTTCTTTCCCTCGTTTATTCTTTTACTCGTCTTCCCTTGACTTTCTGTTCATCTTTTTCTCACGCTGGTTTCTTGTCCCCTCACCTTTCACTTTTTTCCTGCTTCTAGTCGTTCTCTTTTACATTCCCGTTTTTCCTTCTCTGTTTGCTACATCTTCATCAGTCTCTTCCATTTCTTAACTTCACAGTCTTGCTTTATCTTTTTCTTGATCTACTTCTCTCTATCTTGCCCTGAGTGTTCTCTCCCCGTGTCACTCCTCTCACTGCCTCGACTCACTCTCGTTCTAGCTCGCTCGCTCTCTTGCTCGCTCGCTCGCTCTCCATCTCTGCAATTGCTCAGTCCACACACTGCTCACACCGCCAACGTTGTTGCCAAAACAAAAATGACGAGCAGAGCTAAAATTAACATTTCATCAGTCGGAAAGCCACACACACACTCCCCCCACCCCGTCCACAAACAGCTGGTTCCGGACACTAATTGTGTACACTTACCACAAGTGAGCATGGAAGAGCTGGCCAAATACGCCCTTTGGAGCTTCCTCTAAGTGGAGACCCTTCCTGCCAGCAGTAGCGTGAGTGAGCCAAGTGCATTGTTGCATCCTTTTACCAGAGTTTTACTTTGAATCTCTTTGGGCGTCATCAGACGCCCGCACAGAATCAAGTTCGTTACCACGGAGTGGGGGCAGAAAGGCTTGAGTTAAATGGGATGACCAGAACTACACCAACAGCAGCAGCGACGTGACCTGTACAGGCATTGAAATCAATCGCTAGGCCCCAACTGTGTTATGACCAGCGAATGCGGTGCCCATGAATTTAAAAAGGAGCACACACAAAGACAAAGATCCCCCGTATAGCCTTAACAGACTGTTGGGGTAAGTGCTGTTAGCGAGCACATATGAAGGCTGGAACGGCACACTTAGGGGGTGGGTGGCTAATAAAAAGGGAGCACACACGCACAGTCCACAATTTTTTGAGCCAGTTCAGACCTCGTCCACCTTCGCCGTGAAACTTTAACCCAAAATTCAACCATTAACCCCTCCGCTGTCACCGTGTCTCTCGCTCGCCTTGACTTGATACAGCTCAGAGGAGCCTCTATTTTCAATGAATTTTTCTGTTGTACCATGTGTTGTTTCGCACGATGTCCGACGTTTTGCTTTAAGTGCTGGGAGCTCCTTGAGGAACTCCTCTGTTGAATAGTTGTCCAAGTTGCAAAGCAGCAAAGGCTACAACGGTGGCGGAGATGGAGTGAGAGAAATGACGATTCTTGAGCCACCACTACCACCACCCACACCAACCACAACTACCTACAGCACCGTCACCACTTCCACCACCTGCACCACCACGACCCCCACACACCTCAAACTTCGCCACGACGATTTGAAAAAATCCCGCCGTTTGGTCATGCGACGCCATTCTTGTCCCAGCTCTCGTTTCTGCAGAGCTGGCTCTGGTACAGTTTTGCCACCCGTGTCCAAACTTCAAATAAACGCAAGTTTCAAATCTAAACGTGTGCCTCGAAGTGTGCTGCGTGTTGTTTTGCCACGAGTCGAGCGGTGGAGTTGGTGACGCAACCGGCCGGGGACCCGGGTGTGGTGAAATTTGGTTCAAAACAACCTCGGCGACACGCACCCCATGTGGAGGCCCTTGCCATCCAGCAGTGGATTGACAAAAACGGGGCTTGATTTTGAGCTTTCGTGACTGCAGGAATTACTACTCTTAGGTTTTTTTCGGTAAAGTCACGTAGGTAAAAATAATAAAATAATACATTGAAATTTCTCAATTAAATCACGACATTTCGGACGCAACACAAGTCTCTGTCTTCAGGTGGGACCGTCACAGCTAAATTTATTGTATCAATAAATTCACTTGATACAATAAATTTAGCTCTGACGGTCCCACCTGAAGACGGAGACTTGTGTTGCCTCTGAAACGTGATTTAATTGAGTTTTATATTTTTTTTACCTACGTGACTTTACCGAAAAAACCTAAGAGTATGAATCCTTCCAGCCAGGAAAGCTTAAAATCTAGAATTGCAGGAATTACTATTTGGTTCTTAAGGTAAAGTTACGTAGAAATAAAAAAAAATACATTCAATAATAGCATACGACGTTTCGATTGCAACACAGGCAATCATCAGGTATAAATGAAAGAGAAAACAAACCTAGTGAACTTAGAAATATAATGCAATACAACACACAGAGTCGGCTAACATAACAGTCAACACCCTTCCTGGTTGATTACGTTCTTCCAACGATTGCTAAATGTGAGAGAGAGACGTAACACAGACACGGAGAGAGACACAGACAGACACATACGCAGAGAGAGATAACAGACGGAGAGAGAGACACATAGGCACACAGAGAAACCACGCCTCTGTGTCTGGGCCTTAAAGAGACAGGCGAAGTTTTGGGCAATGTTCCTTCATAAGCACGTAAAAAATTAACCCGTAAAAACAAAGTTTTTCACTATAAATCCTTTATATGCGTGGCGGCTAGAGTCCTCTCGTCCTCTGGCTTGAGATGGCTGCCACCTATGGGTCAGATGATTGTCTGCCACCATTAAGCAATTGGTAATTAAATATTTTTTTTCTTTCCCTAAACTGTAAAATTTAGGAAATTTTTTCACGAAAATAAATTGTCACGCACAGCGAGTCTGTGTGCAAAATGTCAGCTCGATTGGATCACGGGAAGTGGGTTAAAAAACGACCGAAAGATTTGCACGGTCGTAAGCAAGCAAGCAAGCGAACTTAATATAAAGGATTTAAAAGAGGAGCCATTGCCCGAAACGTCACGTTCTATATTTAGCTTTTAAGGCCACGAGTGTTGTTGACGAATGAGTTGAGTTGGTTTGTTAATCGCACTTGTTGCACCACTGCCGAAGCAGGATCAGCAAATAGTTTGTAAATTCCACAGGTTGATCATTCCATGTATAACTCTTGACTAAAAGTAGAACAAGGGATTATCAATTCATCCAAAAATAATAAAAGTTGTTAATTGGCTATCGCAAATTGCAAGCTTTTTATAGGATGTTTGACCTGACCCGGAGAACTGGAAATATTTTTTTTAATCCTTTATATTAAGTTCGCTTGCTTGCTTGCTTACGACCGTGCAAACCTTTCGGTCGTGTTTTAACCCACTTCCCGTGATCCAATCGAGCTGACATTTTGCACACAGACTCGTTGTGCGTGACAATTAATGTTCGTGCAATTTTTTTCTCCAAAATTTTACATTTTTTAGGACAAAAATATATTTAATTACCAATTACTTAATGGTGGCATGCAATCATCTGACCCATAGGTGGCAGCCATCTCAAGCCAGAGGACGAGAGGACTCTAGCCGCCACGCATATAAAGGATTTGTAGTGAAAAACTTTGTTTTTACGGGTTATACTTGTTAAGTGTAGCAAACAGCTTTGGTGGAATGAATATTTTTTTTTCCACTGACACATCTGTCCGTGCCGAACCAGCATGGGGCTGGCACTGGCACGGGTTTTGCGCATGATATCTTCCGTGCCGAGCTCGAACCAAACTGATACGTTGACCTCAATACATTTGAGTCTGGCCCAGGGCCAAGCAGTGGGGCTAACGCCATAAATGACGTCATGCACCTGGGGGGGGGGGGGTCAGACATTTGTGACGATGTGTGACGAGTGGGGGGGGGTGAGAAATGTGACGTCACATCAAAATGCGCAACTTTAAATAAATATAGACGACACGTTCTACTTAATTAAATAGACTTTTTAATAAATGTTTTCTCCTACAACATCAGAGTGCAACGCCACATTAAATAAATACGCACTACAATGACAATAGTTTAAAGCGATTTGAAGCATGTTTTATTTTTTTGGGGGGCAGAGCTTTGTGACGTCATATTTTAGGGGGGGGTCTGACTTTTTGTGACGCCGTGTGACGATGGGGGGGGGGGGGGTCAAAAATCGTTCAAAATCGCGTGACGTCATTTATGGACGGCCCCATAGCTCTTTTTCAGAAGGCACAAATGATAGCCCAATGAAGTGGCTTATCACGTGGAAATTTACCGCAGCCAAACACTCTCACCGCAAGTTTCTAAATGTGATGGGGGGGGGGGGGAGAGACCGGAGGATAAGGAGAAAAATCCACGTGGCCACAGGGAGAGAGACGCGAAAACTCCAAATATACAGCAGCAAGTGTCAGGGTCTGGATCGAACCCACGACCTCCTGTAGACCAGGCGAGATAGTTAATATCTCATAGCTACCGTGATGATGATAGAGACACGCAAACTCCAAATATACAGCAGCAGGCGTCAGGGTCTGGCTCGAACCCACGACCTCCTGTAGACCAGGTGAGGTAGTTAACATCTCCTAGCCACCGTGATGATGATGATGGCAACCTTCATAGGCGCCGCTGTTCGCTAACAGCAAGTGCCCCCCCAAAGCAGCTTCTTTAAGACGACTACACTGATGGGGGGGAAGGGAAACACGTGACGAGGAAGAAGAAAAATACTCTTAAGTTGTTTCGGTAAAGTCACGGAGGTAAAAATGATCATGATAAAATTTAAATAAATGAAAATAACTACATTTAGTTAACTTAATGAATAAAATAATAAATAATGAAATTTACTATTTTAACTAAATTTAGGTAGCTAAATTTTGTTCTCTTCATTTATTATAATAATAAATGAAAATAACAAAATTTTGTTCTTTTCATTTATTATTATTTTATTAAGTTAACTACATTTAGTTATTTTTATTTAATTAATTTAGTTAACTAGATGTCGTTAATTTCATTTATTATTATTTCATTTAACTTTTTACCTACGTGACTTTACCGAAAAAAAGCTCCCCCAACAGTATGAATCATTGCAGTCACGAAAGAAGAAAAATCTTCTTGGTTCTTTCGGTAAAGTCACGTAGAAGGGAAGTAATAAAATAATAAAAATAAAACATAATAAAATATTGTACCATGTTATTATAAAATAATAAAAATGAAACATAATAAAATATTGTATTATGTTTTATTTGTATTATTTTATTATTTCCCTTCTACGTGACTTTACCGAAAGAACCAAGAAGATGAATCCCTGCAGTCACGAAAGCTTCAAAATCTAGAAAGAAGAAAAATCTTCTTGGTTCTTTCGGTAAAGTCACGCACGTAGAAGGGAAGTAATAAAATAATAAAAATAAAACATAATAAAATATTGTACCATGTTATTATAAAATAATAAAAAAATAAAACATAATAAAATATTTAATTATGTTTTATTTTTATTATTTTATTACTTCCCTTCTACGTGACTTTACCGAAAGAACCAAGAAGATGAATCCCTGCAGTCACGAAAGCTCAAAAATGTTTGCCACTCAATGAATGAACGTGCCTTGTCAAGGTGACCCTTAAGTTGATGTTCGCGCCGCGCTTCCCGTGTCCCGGCTCGTTGGTCTAGGGGTATGATTCTCGCTTCGGGTGCGAGAGGTCCCGGGTTCAAATCCCGGACGAGCCCCACTGGGTCGCAATATTTTTTTTTCTCTCTCTCCTTAAACAATCTCTCTATCTCTCGCTAGCTGTGTGCGTTTCTTCGGTATAAACATTTCTCCGCGCATTTACACAACCAGCAATATCGTCGTGTTGTCGCTGCGTTTATATTTTATTATTCTAACAGCTACGCCGTGGAATGAGTTACACAACTTGAGGCCTAGGCGCCGCTGCTAGGCCTCTCCCTCCTCCCCGCGGACCCCCGACCATTGCCTAGTTTCCTCCCCGCCCCACACGCACCCGCACCCGCAGGCCGCGACCATGGACCAGGACACGGCGCAGCGCCTGTACGCCGAGGGCGCCTTCCTCGTGTTTCTCGGGGTCCCTGAGGGCACAGAGTTCGGCATCGACTACAACACCTGGGAGGTGAGAACGCCCGTGGACTCTCGTTTGTTGATAATTCAAGAGTCGAATGGCTCACAGGGCTGTACGGAATATTGGTCACGATGGCCTAGTGAGAGTCGGCGAGGCTCACGGCAAAGCTCGTGTCCAACAGAGAGTTGAGGCTCTTCTTGTAATAATAACAATGATGCAAATTTAGATGTAACGCTTTCATCTTCTTGGTTCTTTCGGTAAAGTCACGTAGAGAAGGGAAATAATACAAATATTGTCGGGAAAGTCAGATTTACTTTCCCCAACGATTCAATGCATTGTCACGATTCTGGGTTCAGAATTTTATTCAAGAATTGTGCCATTGTGGTGAATCTAGAACCTCGAGTGGCGACAGGGTTTACTGAAACCAATTCTCTCAAATATAATAACAATAATTTAGTCTTAAATTTCGATTTAAAGCTTTCGTGACTGCAGGGATTCATCTTCTTGGTTCTTTCGGTAAATATACGCTCCAAACCTGGTGGTGTTTCATTCAGACGCTGTCTTTCCGACAGACCTGTTCTTCACCTGAGGACGGCTGCTTGCGTTGTGGCCGAAACGTCGTGAGAATGTTATTATGTTTAATTTTTATTATTTTATTATTTCCCTTCTACGTGACTTTACCGAAAGAACCAAGAAGATGAATCCCTGCAGTCATGAAAGCTTTAAATCGAAATCTTTCGGTAAAGTCACGTAGAAGGGAAATAATAAAATAAAAAAATTAAACAATAAAATAATTCTCACGACGTTTCGGCCACAACGCAAGCAGCCGTCCTCAGGTGAAGAACATGTCTTCTGTTCTATCACCTGAGGACAGCAGCTTATTATTTTATTACTTCCCTTCTACGTGACTTCACCGAAAGAACCAAGAAGAATAATGGTAGTCCTTTGTCAATCCGCTGTTGGATGAAGGCGTTGCTTTTGCGTGCCTACATATATTTGTGCACACAGGTGGGCCCACTCTTCAAAGGCATCAAGATGATACCGCCGGGCATGCACTTCGTGCACTTCAGCGCGGTGCGTGGATGTGGGGGCAAGCCGGGGGTCAAGGCTGAGGGCAGCGGGCCCAAGAGCAGCGGAGCAGGAGACCCGGGGCCGTGGGGCCGGGAGACGGGGCCGCGCACGGGATTCTTCCACGAGTTTGGGAAGCGCGAGTTGCTCGTGCGCAAGTGGGACGTGGCGATGGAGGACGCGGCCAGCGAGGAGGTGGCGAGCGACGAGGTGGAGAGGATACGCGCCAGCCTCAAGGTTCGAGGTCGAGCGTCCCCGCGTGCGACCCACGTGTCACCTTTCTCCACGATAACACAGAGCTGTTCTTTCCGCGTGACTCTCTGTGTACTCCCCGTGTCTCCGTGAAAACGTTTTCTGACTCTTTGCATCACTCTCTATCACTCCTGGTGTGTGTCTCCTGTACGTGTGTGTACACGCACGTGAGACTGTTCTTCAAAGGCATTTTTACTTTCAAGCTTACTCCTGGCATGTCCCTGTGTAGTGACATAAGAGGGGAGGGGCTGCTGGGGGCTCTGGAACCCTAGGCAACCCAGACGCTTAAGCCCCTTGGCGCCAGGCGCTGGGATCCCAGACAACCCAGCCAGTTAAGCCCCTTGGCGCCACCAACGGGGGGGGGGGCTGTGTGTGCTCTGTGGGATATCTGGGGGCGCACACAACCCCACCCCTCGTTGGGGACGAGGCATAAAACGGCAGCTCCCTGGCCGATCAGGGCCAGTTGTAGCTCAAGACCCAAGACCAGCCATCTCAGGACCCTGGGACGCTGTGAGGGCCAGTGGTGGGACTCTGGAACTCCCGGCTCTACGTCCTTGTGAGGGCGAGTTTCAGAGCGTAGCCAGAGTAGTGTATCTAGGCTGTGTACCTAGGCTGTGTACCTAGGCTGTGTACCTAGGCTGTGTACCTAGGCTGTAACAGGGTATCAGGACTGTTGGAGTGTTGGATTGTAATAAAGAAGTTACTTCTACAAGTGTCTCTGGAACCCATTACACCTGTATCTACATAACCCATTGTGACTCCCCATTACTATATGTAGCTGTCATTGACTTGCTAGTTACTGCAACTCCATGTAACTCCATACAATTCTGTGTGACTCAATGTCTCTGCTAAAGATTTACATTGCCTGTCGATGTCTTTCAGTGCCTCCCATTTTTGCACAGTATCTCCCAATGCCTCCAATTGTCTCCACTGCCTACCATTGTCTTCCATCACCTACCAATACTTTACATTGCATTACATTGCCTCTCAGTATCTCCCAGATTCTCCCACTACCTCCCCAATATCCCCCAATACCTCCCAGTGCCCCCCAATGTCTTCCAGTGTCTCCTAAATTCTCTCTCTCTCAATGTCTCCTAACTTATCTCAGTACCTCCCAATGTCTCCTATATTCTCCCAACTATCTCTCATTTCCCAACACCTCTCATTACGTCTCCAAACGTATCCCAATGCCTCCCCAGCCTCTCCCGTTCGCGTCTCAATAACCAACCCCTGCCCCCTCCTCCCGGCAGGACCTGGATCGGAACCTGGCCCCGTACCCGTACGACACGCTGCGGCGCTGGGTGTCGCTGAGCGGCCACGTGACGGGCTCCGTGGCGGCGCGGCTACTGCCGCTGTCGGGACGCGTGTGCGCCTTTGCCGAGATGGAGCCCGAGACGCCGAGCTCCAACTCGCAGCAGCGGCTTGCGCTCAACCTCCCCCGCAACGACACGGAGTGCTCCAGCCTGCAGGCAGGGCGCTCGCACACCCGCCACCCGGCCAGCGCGGCATTGCTGGATGAGAACGGATGTCGCGTTTCTGTCCCGTCGGTTGTCAAACGACAGCGGCCACTCGAGTTGCTCCGTTTGCGGGTCCTCCCCCCGGCAATTTGTCCATTGTGTTTACATTCTTAAAAATGTGTTTTGTCAGTTGTGTTATTTCACAAGATCAAATGTGATGCGCAATCGCTTGTAATCTTGTGTAACGCGCCACCTTCATGGTCAGGTCGCACTGGAAGAGAGCTGTTTAGCTCGGCGGGCCCTACCCGTCTCAATAAAGAAGTTCAACATATACGTATGTGCATGTTGATGCTGCTTCTGCGACTGCTGCTGATGATGCTGCTGCTGATGCTCCTGCCTCTTGTCACGGCTGCTGCTGCTGCTGCTTCTGCCGCTGCGGCCGCAGGAGGGAGAGGCGAGGTTGCCCATCATGAAGCAGCGCCCCGGCACCGAGATTCGCTTCTCGGAGCTTCCCCAGCACCCGTTCCCGGCGGGGGCCAGCCCCGCGGACGTGACGCGCCACTCGCTCGACCGTTCGCTCGCACTCGACGCGCTGCTGGCTAAGCACTACCCCCAGGACGAGCACGGCATCCTGGGTACGCGGACCGCCAAGGAAAAGCATCTCCCTCATCGCCCCCCCCCCCCCCGCCACCCCCACGTTGTTTCTGACACTTATGAAAGCTCCCCCCCCCCCGTGGATGTACATACCTAATGACGTGTGCATATATACAGATACGCGCGTAAATACAGACGCGTACATAAAATAACAGCCGCCGTTCGCCACTAAGTGGTGGTGACGTCACCACATGCACACGGACAGATAATTGTGTTTGCACGTGTGCTCATCTTCGTGTGTATCTGCGTGCGTGCTGATCATGACCCCCGTGTGACCCCCGCGTGCTCATCATGACCCCCGCGTGACCCCCCGCGTGACCCCCCGCGTGACCCCCCGCGTGACCCCCCGCGTGACCCCCCGCATGCTTGCTGCTCATCACTCCTCCGTGCGTGTGCCGAGAGCAGGCGAGCTGCAGTTTGCATTCGTGTGCTTCCTGCTGGGCGGCGTCTACGACGCATTCGAGCAGTGGAAGCGGCTGCTGGCGCTGCTGTGCGGCAGCGAGGCGGCGGCGCTGTCTCGCCCGCGCCTCTACCGCGACCTCATCCCCGTGCTCTACCACCAGCTGGACGAGGTGCCGCGGGACTTCTTCGTCGACATCGTCACGAGGGACAACTTCCTCACTTCCACGCTGCAGGCAAGGCGGCGGCTGCGGCGGCTCGGCCAACGATTGCACTTTACCGCGATTTGACGAGGAGCTCGGCAAACATTCTAGTGGGTAACGATCATCTTTATTCTGCGAAGCAACTTTCATATTGAAATATAACAAAGCACCGTGCGTGTAAAAAAAAAACACTCGCATGTGTAGATAAAATGCAAACGCAGTAAAAGCTGATAACAATGACAGCTGCACTTGCAATTGCAGATAGAATGAAGAACAAACTACGATAGACGCCAACAATTACAATTATAGTCGGGGTAGATAAACTCGAAAAGCCAATAAAAGTAGTTTAAGCCGGCAGCTTCCTCACACGGGGAGATTTCCTGCCACCACCACCACATCATCATCATGAGCTGTGATCTATTCACTGCTGCCTGCACGAAGGTTTCCTCAAGCTTTACTCACCCACCACATCATCATCATCAGCCATGATCTATTCACTGCTGCCTGCACGAAGGTTTCCTCAAGCTTTACTCACCCACCACATCATCATCATCAGCCATGATCTATTCACTGCTGCCTGCACGAACGTTTCCACAAGCTTTACTCACCCACCACATCATCATCATCATCAGCCATGATCTATTCACTGCTGCCTGCACGAACGTTTCCACAAGCTTTACTCGCCCACCACATCATCATCATCATCAGCCATGATCTATTCACTGCTGCCTGCACGAAGCTTTCCACAAGTTATACTCGCCCACCGCGGCATGCCGGCGCCCTGACCGGCGCTGCCTTCTGTACTCCCCCCCCCGCCCCCCCCCCCACAGGTTTTCTTTTCCATCCTGTCGGGCGCGGACGTGGAGCGGTCCCTGCATCAGCGAGCTGCCATGTTCAAGCAGCACCTGACGCGCAAGTTCCGCTGGGATTTCGACGCGGAGCCCGAGGACTGCGCCCCCGTGCTGGTGGAGCTGCCTGACGGCATGGTGCTGGGGTGATCTCACGGCACCGGTGGCGAGGGCAGGGATATCGTTTAGCCATCTTCACGAGGGCAGGGCTCTCGTTTGGCCATCTTCACGAGGGCAGGGCTATCGTTTGGCCATCTTCACGAGGGCAGGGATATCGTTTGGCCATCTTCGCGAGGGCAGGGATATCGTTTGGCCATCTTCACGAGGGCAGGGATATCGTTTGGCCATCTTCACGAGGGCGGCTTGTAACGTAAGGGGTGATCGTCCTTTGTACCTGGGTCCAAATAATAATTTGATTATAAATAACGGATTGGATAAGCGGACAAAATGTGTCCTTTGTGTATCCGTATATCTGGACATTAAAATAAGTATTCCTACCCAAGATAGCTACCATACGGTTCTGTCCTTACCATGATGGCTACCAGATGGAGCTGCCCTCACCGTGATGGCTATTAGTCAGACCTAACTGTAACCACGATGGCCGCTAGAATTGCCAGTCATCAAGATTGCTATCGAACAGGTTTGTCTTGCTTCACAATGGCCACCTTATCAACCTGTCCCTCAGCAAGAAGGCTACCGACTGAAAAGAAACTTGCTGCCAAGATCGTTGAACTCCTGAGACATGGCCGCAGGCCTCAGCGAAATCTTCCGACAGGAAGACGATGGAACGCCTGTTTACATTGGGAAAATCTGCCTTGTGCTTTTTTTCAGCTGAGCTTAAAATCCGTTCCGAACGTTTCCCGTGCACCAAGCATCAGCGGAGCACAACCGTAAACATCACCCGCAAAGAGAACCTGCTCGGATAACATTTATATCGATGTGCATTTAAATTGCCTCAGCAACTCAGAGCATCTTTATTTCAATGCCTTGCTGTTCCGTGCTTCCTTAGGGCACCCCCGCCCCCCCCCACCCCCGTGACAGCCATTCGTTAGCGGCAAAAAATTCACAACCCCGACCTGCAAATGGGCATTAGTGTGCCAGTAGGGGGCGATGTTAAGCCACAGAGCATCATGGGAAAATAACATCCAGAGTGCTTTGCACACCACGCGGATTGTGCGCAGGAATTGTATTTACACGATTGTCGACTCCAAGTTTCGACATCAAGAGGTCATCGCGACCATCGAAGTCAGCACCACGTCATTGTTTCCTTCGGCCAGACCCTTCAACCATTGCAGCGCCATGGGCCACACCGATTCAGCAATAGGTGTCGCCACTTGTTCCTGGTTTTATCAGGATCGTTTTGTTGCCGTAGCTGCAAGTCTTCTCAAGAGTATTAAAAGTCAAAGTCTTTTGTCAGTTGCGTAATAATGCACCGCTCAAGATGACGCACGCACGGGTAATTCTCTCGTCTCGTCTGGTATTGTGAGAGCTTCTTTGAGACGGACAACACGATCAAGATGGACAGTACACACGAGGCAGACAACACAAGAGACTGACAACACCACACAGGCAACACAAATCAAGTGGTCAATTCTGTAGCTGATTGGAACATTAATTGTGACTATTCATTGAATTACCTCGAGGGTGAATTTCTATCGGTACCCGACTACTCATTGTGTTTGTTAAAGTTTGATTCCCCAGGTTGGCCCTTACTGCCATTTTTGTGGATGGGACTGTTAAACTGCACACCGCTTCATAATTTTACTACAATCTGTGAGTCTCTGATATCAGTTTTTCATTAAAATGTAAATTTACGATAAAAAAAATAAAGTTTGCCAGCAGTTTATCGTGAATGGACTCGATGCTAAAATCAAATCGTGTGATCTTTGAACATATTAAACTGAATTTGGTTTGTCACGTGCATTCCAATAGCTTCTGCCGGATTTCCATGAGAGTTTACGCTGCAAAGCCAGATAATAGCCGCGTCCTTTATTTAACCGGGCGGATTACAACTATCCTGGATTGCCTTTCGAGGGCGACCAGGGTGGCTGGTTACATGCAGCCCTTTTGCCAGGCCACTGCCGGATGTTTTTTTTGGTGGAGTTATTAGTGGCCGGGCTGAGACCCTCAACTCAGGACGCTTGAGAACGCGGTTTAATGACGAACCTCGAATCACTGCACCAGATTGAATTAAATGATGACGTCACCCTGCTGCTGCTGCTGCTCTAAGAACGGAAGCAACAGGAGATCTTCACCATTCTTGCCCGATGAAGCTGATTGTAATTACCAGCGAAACGTCGTGCTACTCAAATTTTAAAATGCTGTTCATTCTCTCTTCAACACACCGATGGGCTAAAGAAGTGAATTATTTTGTCCTTTGAAAAACGTGACATTTTTTTACTGTTTGGCCGTGTCGGGTGGTGGAGGGTTACGACACATTTATAAATAACGCGATCTGATCCAAAAACCTTTATTATGAGTACGGATTTGTCATGTTGGTTTTGCCTCCCGAGTTCACACAATATGGGTTCGAACCCCTGCTTCAAATCGCCAGTTAATTTAATATCACATTGGCAGCTGAGTCTCGGTCATATAAACCACGGCTGTTGCAGACTGAGCCTAGACTCGGGTGGTTGGGTGGGGAGTATTGTTGGGCTTGCGAGTCAGAAAAACACTGAATTCGATTGTTGCTATGATGTTATGTTCTAACATTTTCAATGCTATATTTTATATTCAAGGTCTGTATCTAGCAGTGGATTGATCATGGCTGGTGACATTTACATTCATAAAGGTATGCAAGGAATAACGTTTAAGAGGCATTTTTGTTTGCCGAAATGCATACTCGCTAAATACAAGATTGTACCGTCTCTTATAATAACCGGAGTATTTTTTTTTCGATTTAAAGCTTTCGTGACTGCAGGGATTCATCTTCTTGGTTCTTTCGGTAAAGTCACGTAGAAGGGAAGTAATAAAATAATAAAAATAAAACATAATAAAATAATATAATAAAAGAATATAATATTTTATTTTTTAAATATAATATATATTTTACTAGCTGTACTACCCGGCTTCGCCCGGGACTTGTATCTACCACGGCCGGCCGCCTTTGTCTCCCCAGTGGCGATGTTAATACGCTACAGTAGTTAAGTTACTCGTTTGAGGCAGAGTCGACCTAGGGGAGGTTCAAATAATCGTCACCGGTGGTGGCCGTGAGCGGGAATCGAACTGGGTTTGCCGGGTTGGTAGCGCAGCGTAGCGTTAAGCACTACACCCACCGCTCCTCACACACCACACACGCACAGACACACACACAGACACACACACAGACACACGCAGACACACACACAGACAGCACGCTAACCACTACACTACCGCTCCCCACACACCACACACGCACACACACAGACACACACACACAGACACACACACACAGGCAGCACGCTAAGCACTACACTACCGTTCCCCCTACACAACACACGCGCGCGCGTCCATAGGTACACATACACGCGCTTGCTGCAGACACACACGACTTTCAGGGTGCATACGGCAGTAAACGACTGAAATAATAAAGCGGCAATGCTGTGTAAGGAATGCCTTAGACCCGCATTATACATTTGTGTAATGCGAGCGTAAACACACAAACACACACAAACACATACACAATACACACACACATACATGCAGACACACAGACAGACACATAACACACATACATACACACACATACAAACACAGAAACACATACACACATACATAGACACACACATACATACACACGAACACATCCACAGACGTACATACACACATACATACAGGCACGCAGACATACACATAAACACATACAAAAAAAACCCACATACATACACACACACATACATACACACAAACACATGCACACACATACATACACACATGCATACAGACACACAGACATACACATAAACACATACACACATACACATGACCCGGCTTCGCCCGGGACTTGGATCCACCACGGCGGCAAAACCGACATACATACACACACAGACATACACACAAACACATACACACACATACATACACACATGCATACAGACACACAGACATACACATAAACACATACACATGACCCGGCTTCGCCCGGGACTTGGATCCACCACGGCGGCAAAACCGACATACATACACACACAGGCATACACACAAACACATACACACACATACAAACACACATGCATACAGACACACAGACATACACATAAACACATACACATGACCCGGCTTCGCCCGGGACTTGGATCTACCACGCCCAGCCGCCTTTGTCTCCCAAGTGCCGATGTTAATACGCCACACCAGTTACTCGTTTGAGGCTGAGTGGACCTAGGGGAGGTTCAAATAATCGTCACCGGTGGTGGCCGTGAGCGGGAATGGAACTGGGTTCGCCGGGTTGGTAGCGCAGCGTAGCGTTAAGCACTACACCCACCGCTCCTCACAAACCACACACGCACAGACACACACACAGACACACGCAGACACACACAGACAGACACAGACAGACACACACACACACAGACAGCACGCTAAGCACTACACTACCGCTCCCCACACACCACACACGCACACACACAGACACACACACAGACACACGCAGACACACACAGACAGACACAGACAGACACACACACACATACAGACACAGACAGCACGCTAAGCACTACACTACCGTTCCCCCTACACAACACACGCGCGCGCGTCCATAGGTACACATACACGCGCTTGCTGCAGACACACACGACTTTCAGGGTGCGTAAGGCAGTAAACGACTGAAATAATAAAGCGGCAATGCTGTGCGAGGAACGCCTTAGACCAGCAACACATTTGTGTAATGCGAGCGTAAACACACAAACACATACAAACACATACACACACATACACACACATACACACAAACACATACACACAGACATACACATACACACAAACACACACATACATGCACACAAACACATACACAATACACACACATACATGCAGACACAGACAGACACATAACACACATACATACACACACATACATACACAAAAACACATACACACACATACATAGACACACACATACATACACACAAACACATGCACACACGTACATACACACATACATAGAGACACGCAGACATACACATAAAGACGTAAAAAAAACCCCACATACATACACACACACATACACACAAACACATACATACACATACATACACACATACATAGAGACACACAGACATACACATAAACACAAACACACATACACATGACCCGGCTTCGCCCGGGACTTGGATCCACGATGCCCCGCCGCCTTTGTCTCCCCAGTGACGATGTTCACACACGACAGCAGTTACGCTTTTGAGGCTGAGTGGACCTAGGGGAGGGCCAGGTCCGTTTCAAATAATCGTCAGCGGTGGTGGGCGTGAGTTGGAATCGAACTGGGGTCGCTCAAGCAGCTTAATGACTGTTTGTACAAAGAACATATAAAGAATCGATTATAATAACCAGGCAAGAGTCCACATTATAGACTGCCAGTACACGCACTCAGCTTCATAAGCAGGCTAGAGTGTACATGATAGAGTGGCAGTACGCTCACCGAGCTTAATAAGCAGGCTACAGTGTACATGATAGACTGGCAGTACGCTCACCCAGCTTAATGAGTATTTGTACAGTGAACATTAAAGTAATCGATTGTTGGCGCGTTGGGTTTAAAAGTATTATTAATAGCACACATTGTGGTGGGGGTGTAGTGAAGAGTAGGAAAAACTTTGATGAATTTACCTCAGAGTGGCGTGGTGGGTGTCGAGGCCTAGTAGCGTGCAAAGCCTGCGGCCTCGCCTAAAATTGTCGGCTTGGAAGAGGCAGGGTACGGGTGGCGTTCCTTCCCCCCCCCCCTAGCGCTCCAACAATACTGTGTAATGGATATTATTTAATTAAATACGGAGCTTATGAAAGTGGCGAAGGCGTGGCTAGCCGTTGGCAGGGGCAACCGCCGTCCAATGAAACTGCAGCCCTTGGCGAAGGCGTGGCTAGCCGTTGCCTGGTCCAATGAAAGCGGCGAAGGCGTGGCTAGCCGTTGCCAGGGGCAACCGCCGTCCAATGAAAGTGCGTATGGGCCAAAGTCCACACACACACAGACAGACATGAACGATTTTATATATATAGATTATGTTTTATTTTTAAATCCTTTATATTTAGTTCGCTTGCTTGCTTGCGTGCTTGCTTGCTTGCTTACGACCGTGCAAATCTTTCGGTCGTTTTTTAACCCACTTCCCGTGATCCAATGGAGCTGACATTTTCCACACAGACTCGTTGTGCGTGACAATTTTCGTGAAATTTTTTTCCCAAAATTTTACACTGTTTCGGGAATTTATTTATTTATTTAATTACCAATTGCTTAATGCTGGCAGACAATCATCTGACCCATAGGTGGCAGTCATCTCAAGCCAGAGGACGAGAGGACTCTAGCCGCCACGCATATAAAGGATTTAGAGTGAAAAACTTTGTTTTTACGGGTTAATTTTATTATTTTATTACTTCCCTTCTACATAACTTTACCGAAAGAACCAAGAACCGGAATATTTCCCATTCGCAAGTTCTGGGTGGCGTAGCCCATAGGCGCGGCTGCCCCTGACTTGGAAGGATTTGGGCTCAAGTCCCCACCAAGGTCCAATTTTTGTAATCATTTTTTTGAGCACCACACCACCACCACCACATCTTGTACCCACGCGGCCCGCATTGTGCAGAGTCGCTTGGCAGACGAACCCTGGGCAAGAGGTCGGCGTGGGGAGGGAGGTTTGTGTGGGGGGACCCAACGCTTGGGGGGGGACTGCTGAGCCCCGAGGAGCCGGGTTCGACTCCGGCACGTGGCCGCCCGCGCGCGGATTAAACAATGTGCGTGTCTCCAGGCGAGTGAGTGAATGCATGTCCATGCATGTACTTGTGCTAATGACTGCTCGTCTCCAGCAGGTGGTGGTGGAGATGACAAGACGGCGAGGAAAGAACATGGGAGACGGAGGAGGTTGGGATAGGTGGACGGAAGAAAGGGACCTTCAAAGTGTCACTTTATGGATATTATTTTGTATTGGGTATACGTTGCGCTGCGTAATTTAGACAGCTTGCCGCTAGAGGGCGCCGCTGCATTACAAACGCCGTTTCCAGTGCTGAAATACGGGGGTTGCGTACCTTTAACCCACCCCACCTGCGTACCTTTAACACCCCCTCCCCCCACCCCGAATCCTTTCGAACGGCCGATATTTAATCCACGCAGAAACGATCAAGGATAACACTGGTCAATACTTTTTCTGGCATAAGGTATTCCAACGTTTGTAAGGTAATTTTGGGGTGCTGATTCCAAATTTGGCATCAGTTTTTGTCTATCACATCAGGTTTTTGAGATATCAAATATTGCATTTTCAATAAAAACTGCAGGAGAAAAATATTAAATAAATGTGGATATCTACATAACATGATATTATAAACACTATCCTAAAAATACAGCACCATATTTTAACACTAAAGCAGTCACTGACTCGCAACAACTTGCAATCATAAGTGACAGAGTAAATTTCGGGTAAAATCAATGAAAATGGGGTATGCCGATAGCATAAAAATGAGATGTGATAGAGCAAATCTGAGATCAGATTTGGAATTGGCACCCTGAAATTAGTCTGCAAAAGTCCAGGCCAGAATTTTTTTTTTGTTGAGCAGTGTAATATTAACGTGTTTACACAAACAGACAGTCCACCGACGGCTGCATTCCATAATTAAGTCGTGTACCTTGGCCACTTACTTTGCTGAGCTGAGTGACAGCTGCAGTCAGGGGCACGGTGGCACACACGTGAGTGACACTTCTCCCACAGTGCCACTTCTCCCGGCAGGACTTGTAGCTGTCTGACAGCTGGAGACGCTGAACTGTGGCTCATTAGAAGGCCGATGTAAACGAATTATTATCGAGGCTTCACCCCCACCCCACCCCCCGTTTCCTATGCGTACATTGTCAGTAGAGCCGCCACACGCAAGCTACGCATTTGGGTTAACCCCCCACTCCCCACTCCACGCGTACGCACTGAATGGATGGCCCCCTACCCACGCACTGAGGCTCACCTGGGCGACCCCCACCCCACCGTAATTACAGGGGCGGTGGGCAGGTGAGCGCGTTGCCATGACGACCAGGTGATGCTCATTGCGGGCCGGCTTGTCCACCCTTACTTATCATCTTGAACCCTTGGTATCGTAAGGGCCGTCCATAAATGACGTCACGCGATTTCGGACGATTTTTGACCTCCCCCCCCCCTTCGTCACGCGGCGACACAAAAAGTCAGACCCCCCCCCCCTCAAATATGACGTCACAAAGCTCTGCCCCCCCCCCCCCCCAAATAAAACACGCTTCAAATCGCTTTAAACTATTGTCATTGTAGTGCGTATTTAATGTGGCGCTGCACTCTGATGTTGTAGGAGAAAACATTAAAAAGTATATTTAATTAAGTAGAACGTGTTGTCTATATTTATTTAAAGTTGCGCATTTTGATGTGACGTCACATTTCTCAACCCCCCCCCCCTTCGTCACACATCGTCACAAATGTCTGACCCCCGCCCCCAGGTGCGTGACGTCATTTATGGATGGCCCCTAAGACTTAGTCTAACCTTACGAGCCTCAGATGTGTTAGTGATGTGTGTATCCTTCCTATATACTCTGCACTCCAAACGTTTATTGTATTAGTCTTTGGTTCTTTTGTACTACGTATTATTGTAGTTTAACACGTAGCAGGCTTTCGCGACCAATATTATTCATAATAAACGTTATTTTGGGGATTAGATAGCGTTATTTATAAATGTGTCGTAACCCTCCACCACCCGACACGGCCAATCAGCAAAAAAAAAGTGTCACGTTGACAAAGACAAATAGTTCACTACTTTAGCCCACCGGTGTGTTGAAGCGTGAAACCACAACATTTACAATTTGAGTAGTACGACGTTTCGCTGGTAATTGCATCCAGCATCATCGGCCAATTCGCCAGAATGGTGAGGCTCTGCTCTTGCTCCCGGCCTTAAAGGGATCTCGGATGTAGCTCCGCCATATCCTCTTCCGCGGGCCGTTCTTTCACGCGAAGCGTTGCACCCGTGCTCTGCGAGATTTCCCAAATAGATTCATCATCTCACGAAGAGATGACTTCGAGGTGCGTGCGAGAAGAACCACCAAGTTGCAAAGGCAGCAGCCAGGCGGTGAGTCAGCACCAACAACAATTTCCCAAGGTCTGCGATCCTCTACATATCAAGATGTTTTCAGCCAAGTAACAAGTATCTATACATGTGGGAGGAAACAGGTGCACCCGGAAAACGATCCTACGAGTGTGAGTGAGTTTGGCAACGCACCGTCTCATTAGGATAACATCGATGGAGATGAATCCGCCTTCTCGTGGCCAGTGTCATGTGACTTCCTTGCCGTCCACGAGAAGACAGTTGGAACAGATGGGGATTAGTCCGCCCGTAGCAGGACCCCATTCTCGTGGCGAGACAGGGTCATGGCTCACTCCCTCGACGACCACGGCACACACGTTACGAGCTCAGCCCGGGGTCACATTTGGGAATGTGTTTATTTGTTTATAGGTGGACGCTCGGTCGATATTGCTTACCGCGCGACCACTGGAGGAGATTAAGGACCTGCAAGTTTCCGGAAACCAAAATATTTTTTTTCACCGACACAGGAACCATCCCCCCCCCCCCCCGCTAACTCAATTTCAAACTAAACCTCCCCCCCAACCCATCCCGCGCCTCCCTTCAACAATCAGCAATAAAACCCGAAGTAAAAGCGCGCATTTGCACGTTCATATACCCCCATATAAAATAGCCTACAGTGCTACAACCACGGACCGATGGGACGGGACAACAATAAAATCTTAGCAGTTATGATAGCGTCTTAAAATACAAAGGCACAAACGCCCCAACTGCAGGTTGCGATGCACGGGGATGCATTAAACATTTGCTGTCTTTGCGATGCAGCCGCCGCGCGTTGGCAGTGGTGCACAAACACAATCAACGACATCAACAACACGACTCAACGCGAGTTCGTCAACACCGCCGCCGCCACCGCGTAGAAATGAATTGATGTTTCAGGCAATGTCCCTTTTTTCATGGCAGATGAAGAAGAGCCTTTGCCCGAAATTTCATCGAAAACATTGATTCCACTTTTTCTGGCAGTGTTATTGAGCATCGTGTTGAGTTTTTGGAGAGATAAACTCTTTGTGGACTTAGCAGGCATGGGTGCCAACTTCTGGCAAACCCTAACTCGTGTTACCTCCCAGGTCACGTCCAGGAAACGGCACGGGCGGATATTCTCACGGCTGTGCTGGACAGAGATCCCCCCCACGCGTTTCCGGGACGTACCGCGCGCTGTCAAGGCCCCCATGTCCGACGTTTCGCCTCCACCTGCTGGGAGCTTCTTGAGAGCACCGGATTTTTTTTCCAGCCGCCGAACAAGTGGCCAGCAGCACTCATTCTCATGTTGGGCCACGATCACTTTGATCATCCCCTTCACGCACAGGCCTCTCTGTCAAGGATGCGCATTAAAATGGTAACACCCAGAAGACAATGGCTATAAGATCCACAATAGATAGATAACACTGGTCAACAAAAAAAAATTCTGGCCTGGACTTTTGCAGCTGTTTTAGACTAATTTCAGGGTGCCGATTCCAAATCTGATCTCAGACTTGCTCCATCACATCTCATTTTTATGCTATCGGCATACCCCATTTTCATCGATTTTACCCGAAATTAACTCTGTCACTTATGATTGCAAGTTGTTGCGAGTCAGTGACTGCTTTAGTGTTAAAATACGGTGCTGTATTTTTAGGATAGTGTGTTTATAATATATTTTTAAGTAGATATCCACATTTATTTAATATTTTTCTTCTGCAGTTTTTTATTGAAAATGCAATATTTGATATCTCAAAAACCTGATGTGATAGACAAAAATTGATGCCAGATTTGGAATCAGCACCCCAAAATTACCTTAAAACCGTTGGGATACCTTATGCCAGAAAAAGTGTGTTGACCAGTGTAATGTGTAGGCGACAGCTTTCTATATGTAGCTTACGGTACAATATAACAAACAAGATTTCTTTGAGACACATGGCCATAATTCTGAGGTCTCCCTTGCTAGACACACAATATTATATCTATAACGCACCAACATGCCCAGATGCCCTTTTGCTGATGTCTGCAGCATGGCCATCAGAAAGCGACACAGTATGAAGAATTCTTAACGGAGTGACATTCCATATGAAGAGGTACTGTTGATAGAAATTCACTCCAGATTATGCGGAATTCCCGATAATAGCTGGGGATATTACCCCAGCATACAAGCGGAGTTCCGGATAACGTGGAGTTTCAGATAAAAGGGAGTTCCCAATTAAAATTCACATCCGGATGGGACAGCCATCCCTCCGTGTGCACTACTTAACTACACACAAAGTTCGTAACACATTCAGACGTCATTTATCGCTAACAGACATACTACTAACAATAATATTAATGAGAGGGCCAATCACAGTGTAAAATAAACCCACACAGACATTTGGGGAAACACATTTCAACACAACCCCAAAATTAAACATTCTCTGACAAACAGCACCCCCCCCCCCCCCACTAATTTCCAAGGCTTAAAACGTATTATTGTATACACAGGCGAGTGCTGAGGCGAGTAGATTCACCGGTGCCAGGTGAAACGATCACTGGTGATCCATTAATGAGGTTTTTTTTGGGTTAGATCGCGTAAATGCGTCCGTTAAAACCCGCCGCCACAGCCAAATAGTCAGGGTTGTCACGTAAACAGAACGTGGCCAATTCGTCACTAGTACAGCAACACCGGTTGTGTGTCAGGAGAGCCAAGCCACTGATGAGTGGCGAGGGCGAGGCGAGCGGTGTCAGGCGAGCGTTGTGCGAGTGTCACTTCAACCCCTTCCACAGGAAAGGGCTGCCCACGAGTGTGATCATCCGTGACTGGCAGACCATGACCGTGCAGCCATTAGTGTAGGCCCCACACGCACCACCGTGACAGTTCGGCCAACTTACAGAGCGGGTGAACGGGTCACGTGACCCCACGGCGTCATCTCTTGCGACTCTCCGTGCCGTTGGTAAAGTGGAGTAGATGGCGCGCAGCCCGTGGCCATGGGCCTTTAGCGAAAGGTACACTGGAATATTTTCCAGGTAGCTGGTGGGCTGCAGTAAGAGGGGGGCACGTGACCAGTAGACATGGCTCAGATTGAGAGGTAAACTGGATGCGGTGTGCCGGGTGCAGAGAGATTGTTCCAGCTTGCTGAAATGATTCAACCGTGGGTGTAAGCTTTGGGTAAAGGCCGATGTAGCTCACATGAACAATCATCTCTTATTTCGTACACACACACTTGACGGGGGTTTGCCGGGCTGACAATTTCACATATGAGACAACATTAAATTCAGTGATGTCCCTAAAGCTGCGGAGCTCTAGAGGTGATATCACAAGGTCGAGACGTCATCGTGCCCAGCGCTGTTCATCCCACGTCCTCTGCCTCCTCGCTGCCAGCACTTTCTACCCCCCACGAGATCCCGCAGCTGCTGCACTGATCTGCCCCGACAGTCTCCACCACCAAAATCTGATCTTAAGACTCACACGGAAACCCACAGAGACCCACAGACTCACACAGAGACCCATAGTCTCAAACATCTACCCTAGCAGTCATATGCGCTTGGGTCTTCTCATCCCCCTGGTCTCAGGCCTCGTGGAGACCGCTCCAATGCTGGTCTCGGCAATCGGCCCTCCTCCCCCATTCCGCGGACACGCGCCACACCAGAGCGGTCACGGCCAGCGGCAATCTAACAGGGTGGAGGCGAGACCACATTCTTGTCGGAACGAAGCAGAATTATTGGAGGAGCGAAATTCCGAATTGAGAGGCAGGGGACAATGGTGCGTCCCCCACTCGCCGATGACTCAAACTGTTGGTGATATTTTAAGTGACTTGCTCACCTTTTCTCTACTTTGGACTCGTATGTTTGTTTTTATTGTTTTCTGTTTTAACTTACTGAAATGGAGTTCCATAGCTCATTGGATTCCTTCAGGTTAAATAAAGATTCAGATTCTGAAAAAGCCTGATACGTGAACACCTAGAGAAAATGGCGTCGATAACGTGCTTCGTTAGGTTTGTCGGACACAAATAATTAGCAAGCTGCCTTTAAACATAGAGGGGGGGACATGACGGTTAATCACACGTGACCGTATGCAACAGGGCCGGATTCGTGAACATCAATGGAAAATTCCAGTTGTACAATCGTGCAACCAATGCTGCCACGGGGTGTGGCCGGTTAACTGGTCAGGACGGATGTGCGACCTTCTGGCATGCGACATCGTACGGTCTCGTTGATGAAATTCAATTGCGCATGAATTTGAACGTAATGTCACGGGCGTAGCCGTTGACGAGCCATGCTGCCGAATCGATTTCAATCTACGCCAATATTCATGACACGCGCGCTGAAACGGTGCGCAAAGCAATCACACTGCCCGTTTGTGGGAGTCGTGTGCAGTGGGTTCAACGTGATCCCTGCTTCCGCTCGATACTACGACGTCTTAAAAACAAAATAATTTGAACGTTCGACTGTAACCCCCTACAACGCGACTATTCATCCAATCACACGAAGGAGTGCATCGTCAACATTCTATTGAAACAACATCGTGATTGGATACCGATACCTCTTGAGGGAGTGTATGAGATCATTTGTGATTGGCTACCACACTGCCTGCATAGGCAGTAGCTCTGTACAGCACGGAATAGGAAACCACAAGGCCGCATTGCTGGGACACGCGCAACCCACGTGTGATCATTGGCTACCGATGCCCGTGCAATAAAATCATAATTACGAGTGGGATGTTGACACTTCACACATCTCCTGGGCCTGTAAATCCACCAAAGGTGCGGCGGTTGGGACCACACCACAAACTTTTCTTTGACCGAGACCGTCTTGTCGTTGTCGTGTTCGTTTGTTGTGTTTGCTGTTGGGTTGCCGCGTGTCCTTTCGGCAGCGCCCTCGGTGCGACCGCGTGTGCCCGGTGAGACCGTGGCGCCGTGTGGGCGTGCGGCGTGACGCGGCGTGATGCGCCGGGCGTCGCTCATTGCACGACGGCGCATCGGAGTGCGAGCAACGAGTCGATGACGGCCGGGTCGGCCAGCGTCGACGTGTCGTCAAACTTGGTGTCGTTGCGCGCGATCTTGCGCAGGATCCGCCGCATGATTTTGCCTGGACGTGGCGGGGTGGGGGGGGGGGTGTGAGCGGAGGCGCACGGACACACGGACGTGCAGACAAGCGGACTTAAAGACACGTGGGACGTACAGACGCGTGGATATACAGACGCGTGACAGATGTATGGATACGCGGACACACAGACGCATGGGACATACAAAGGCACATGAGCACAGTGATATAAACCGCATATTACATGCACACAGTGCCAAGGACACATTGACATACAGACACAAAATAGATGGATGCATGGAACAAAAAAAACACATGGACATAAACGCATGAAAACATACGATAGGTGAATATCCAGATTATACTGGTAGGAACGAAGTGGACCAGACCACCAGTAGATTAATGTGTCCGTCCGTCCGTCCGTCCGTGGGAGGGGTGGTGTTGAGGGTGGTGTTGGAAATGAAAGACTACGAGTCTTTAAATCTCACAGCGTTTCTTGTCAAAACAAACACTTTTAATTAACGTTACACTAGAATACAGTAATTTTTTCTTTAACTCCTCTATACCCGGTCGATATCTCTGTACCGGTACTAAGTATTATTCCTACCAGCCCACCCCGCAGGGTCCTGTTACTGGTAGGAACGAAGTGGACCAGACCACCAATAGATTAATGTGTCCGTCCGTCCGTCCGTCCGTCCATCAACATCGCCCCCTACTGCAAACACTTGGCATGACCCTGTCCGACAAGATGGCCGCCCGCTCCCCCTGCAATGTGAATTAAACAAGATGGCCGCCCGCTCCCCCTGCGATGTGAATTAAACAAGATGGCCGCCCGCTCCCCCTGCGATGTGAATTAAACAAGATGGCCGCCCGCTCCCCCTGCGATGTGAATTAAACAAGATGGCCGTCGCTTCCGGTGCATCACGGCAAAACTTTAAACTTCGCTTCAAAATTACTTTACTGAAACGCAGCACGTTTTTTAACACAGAGACAAGAAACATTTATTAACACAGAGACGAGATACATTTAATCGCCTTATTTGTGCACGAAAAGCACGGCGCGAGGCCTAGTGCGGCAGGCTTCGCGAGGCCTAGTGCCGCAGGCTTATTGACACAGAGATGAAACGCAGCACGTTTATAAAAAAAATTACTTTCCTGAAACGCAGCATGTTTTTTTAACACAGAGACAAGAAACATTTATTAACACAGAGACGAGATACATTTAATCACCTTATTTGTGCACGAAAAGCACGGCGCGAGGCCTAGTGCGGCAGGCTTCGCGAGGCCTAGTGCGGCAGGCTTTTTAACACAGAGATGAAACGCAGCACGTTTATTTAAAAAAAATACTTTCCTGAAACGCAGCATGTTTTTTTAACACAGAGACAAGAAACATTTATTAACACAGAGACGAGATACATTTAATCACCTTATTTGTGCACGAAAAGCACGGCGCGAGGCCTAGTGCGGCAGGCTTCGCAAGGCCTAGTGCGGCAGGCTTCGCGAGGCCTAGTGCAGAAGGTGGTGGTGGGGGCTGGTGGTGAGGGCTGGTGGTGGGGGCTGGTGGTGGGGGTGGTTGTGGCTGGTGGGGGGTGGTGGTGAGGGGTGGTGGTGAGGGGTGGTGGTGAGGGCTGGTGGTGGGGGTGGTGAGGGGTGGTGGTGGTGAGGGCTGGTGGTGGGGGGTGGTGGTGGGGGGTGGTGGTGGGGGGTGGTGGTGGGGGTGGTGGTGGGGGCTGGTGGTGGGGGCTGGTGGTGGGGGCTGGTGGTGAGGGGTGGTGGTGAGGGCTGGTGGTGGGGGCTGGTGGTGGGGGCTGGTGGTGGGGGGTGGTGGTGGGGGCTGGTGGTGGGGGCTGGTGGTGAGGGCTGGTGGTGGGGGGTGGTGGTGGGGGCTGGTGGTGGGGGGTGGTGGTGAGGGCTGGTGGTGGGGGGTGGTGAGGGCTGGTGGTGGGGGGTGGTGGTGAGGGCTGGTGGTGGGGGGTGGTGGTGAGGGCTGGTGGTGGGGGGTGGTGGTGAGGGCTGGTGGTGAGGGCTGGTGGTGAGGGGTCTTTAAATCTCACAGCGTTTCTTGTCAAAACAAACACTTTTAATTAACGTTACACTAGAATACAGTAATTTTGTCTTTAACTCCTCTATACCCGGTCGATATCCCTGTACCGGTACTAAGTATTATTCCTACCAGCCCACCCCGCAGGGTCCTGTTAAAGACGCGTTGAAACATGGACACAGACACACGGATGCATTCATACACAGATAAGTGAATACATAGACACACGGTATAACAAAGACAACAATGTATAGAAAAATGTGGCAGTAGTAGTTGTGTTGGTTGTGGTGATAAAACTACGAACTATTTTTTATTATTTTAGCAGGTAAGGCCTCTACTGAGCTATACAGCTATTTTTCAGAAGCGACCTGGCCACAAATGATAGCTCAACAAAGTGGTTATCATGTGGAAATGTAGAGCAGCCAAATACTATAAAGGCATGTTTCTAAATGTCGAGGGAAAAACTGGAGGACCGAGAGAAAAATCCATACGACCATGGGGAGAGAGACATGCAAATATTCTTAGGTTTTTTCGGTAAAGTCACGTAGGTAAAACATTAAAATTAATAAAAGTGTAGAGGTGATACGCGCTGGGATTAGAGATCGTATGCCAGCGCGTAATGATTGGCTGTGTAGGTGGTGACGTGCGCTGACGGTGGAGGATCAGGGGTCAGCGCGGGGTCGTGGGTTACGGGGTACTGATTGGCTGTGGACGGGTGACGTGCTGAGAGGGAGTGATCGGGTGGCAGCGCGGTGTGATTGGTGGAGGAGTGTTAACACGCGCTGGGGAAAACGGATCGTAGAGAGAGTGCGTCGTGATTGGTTCATTAAGGAGCGATGCTCACGTTGAAGTACGCATCAGCTCCGCCTCTCGTGAGCAGGGGCTATAAAAGGGGATGCACACAGGCGTGAGGGCAGTGTGTAACCAGCGAAGAATGAAGACGGGGATGAAGACCTAGGGCCCTGCGGTACCTAGTCCCGCTGTCCTAACGGGACCGGGACTCTGTGTAACCCAGAGGCGAGTGTAGTGTGTGTAGCCATAGGCGTAAGGTCTACACAGTGTATTGTGTAGCCAGGGACATAGGGTCTACACGAGTCGAGTGTATTGTGTAGCCAGGGACATAGGGTCTACACGAGTCGAGTGTATTGTGTAGCCAGAGGCGTAGGGTCTACACGAGTGAAGGGTATCGTGTGTAGCCAGAGGCCTAGAGTTTACACGAGAGTAGTGGAGTGTGGAGTCGGAAGAAAGGAGACTACACGTTGTATTTTGATACGTAAAGATTTAATAAAAGTGTGTTCCCGTCAAGAAGTTCCTGCCGTCAATTCGCATACTTCAAAAGTAAAATAAAATAAAAATCACGACGTTTCGGAGGCAACACAAGCTTCTGTCTTCAGGTGGAACCGTCGTGATTTTTATTTTATTTTACTTTTATTAATTTTAATGTTTTACCTACGTGACTTTACCGAAAAAACCTAAGAATATGAATCCTTGCAGTCACGAAAGCTTCAAATCTAGACATGCAAATGCCATGGTCGTGATCGAACCCACGACCTCCTGTATTCCAGGCGAGGTAGTTAACATCTCAGCACTATGGTACCTCTATAATAGTGGTGATGTTGGTTTCAATTTCAAGGAGATTCAAATAGACCAGCACAACCTCATTTGCAAGAGTGACCTGGGTTGTCCAGGTGCCAGTAGGGGTGCCGATGATTGCTATGATTTCAATGTATAATCTCAATGAATAATTTTCGTTTTATTTTCTAATGTGCCTAATTTTGGTACAGGTACTGCCCAGAGGGTGGTGTTGTTTCAGTTTGTGCAGTAATTGTGTGCGGTTTGAGTGGGTGAAGTTGTCACCTGATCGGGTCTTTGGGAGTCCAGGTGCATTCTGGATGTAGTCCGGGGTAGCGATGGGCCCAATTTTTTCTCGGACTGCGCCCAACCACACAAGGTAAAGATCCCCCCCCGCCCAGTATAGCCACACAAGACTGTTGGGGCAAGTGATGCTCACGATCGCCAGTCAACACCGGCACGGCGCACAAGGGGGTGGGTGTGGCCAGCGCCATGCCCGGCCGCCTTTGTCTCCCCAGTAATGTTTACAACTCGCACCAGATACTCATTTAAGGCCGAGTCAACCTAGGAGAGTCAACCTACGAGAGGGTCGGGTTTGGTACCACTTACAACCCTACTCACACTCAAAGCTCCGCAGAGGGAGATTCCAAACATTGACTGCTCTACTGCACCTCCTGGTCAACTCGCTGACCCCACACTGACCATGCCCCCCCGCCGCCTCAACACTTCCTGTGCACTGCCCCTCACCCCCAGGATGCAACTGAACTACGGTCCCCCACACACTGTCCCTCGTGCCCCCTAATCTCCTCCATTCTCAAGCATGTCCCCTACTCTCACCCATTCTCCCCGTGCTCCCCACTCTCTCCCTGCCCCCCCACGCTCTCCATGCCCACCCACACTCTGTGCCCCCTCACTCTCTCCGTGCCCCCCACTTTCCAACGTGCCCCCCCCCCCCGCACTCTCCCCGTGTCTCACCCTGCTGCTTGAGCTCCTTGACGAGGTCCCCGCTGAACTGCTGCCCCTCCTTGAGCGACACGAAGCAGTAGAGGCTCTCGCCTTTGACGGGGTGCGGCGCGCTCACCACGGCCGCCTCGGCCACGCTGGCGTGGGACACCAGCGCCGACTCCACCTCCGCCGTGCTCAGCAGGTGGCCTGCACGCACACGCGCACACACACACACGCACACACACGAATAGTTACACACGCACACACACACACAGGTGGCCTGCACGCACATGCGCACACACACACACACGAATAGTTACATAGGCACACAGGTGGCCTGCACGCACACACACACGAATAGTTACACACGCACACACACACAGGTGGCCTGCACGCACACGCGCGCACACACACACACGAATAGTTACACACACACACACACAGGTGGCCTGCACGCACACACACACACGAATAGTTACACACACACAGGTAGCCTGCATACGCACGCGTAAATCCACGCGTCCGTCCGCACGCACACAGTCACACCCATATGCTCGTGGGAGCAGGCTCCTGGTGGATGTGACACGGCCGTCACGAGCCTCCGTGGTGTCGCGCGGCCGCTCACCGGACACGTTGAGCATGTCGTCGATGCGGCCTGTGATCCAGTAGTAGCCGTCCTTGTCGCGCCTGCAGCCTGCGCAAAGACAAAGATCCCCCCTCTCTATAGCCTTGGCAGACTGTTGGGGCAAGTGCTGTTGGCGAGCACTTTTATTTTTTTACTTACACCAGATAAGGCCCACCGAGCGATATGGAGCTCGTTGTCATAAGCAACCAGGCTACAAATGATAACAACGAAGCGGCTTATCATGCAGAAATGTATTGCAGTCGAATACTCTCAGAATTTTCTAAATGTGGCGGGAAAAGCCGGAGGACCCTAAGAAAAATCCACGTGACCACGGCAAGAACATCCAAACTCCCAAATACACAGGGCATCAGGATCGAGATCAAACCCACGATCTGTATGCCATGCGAGGTAGTTCACATCTCGCTACCATGGCGCATCAAGGCCAGCACGGCACACGAGGGGGTGGGTAGCCAGAACCACGCCCGACCACCTTTGTCTCCCCAGTGGTGATGTTTACACACCACACCAGGTACTCATTTGAGGCCGAGTCGCCCTAGGGGAGGCCCAGCACGGGTTCAAATAATCGTCACTGGTGGTGTCAGTGAGCAGGAATGGAACTCGGGTCACCGGGTTCGTAGTGCGGCGTGGATTTGTAACGCAGCGCGCTAACCACTCCCCACAGAACATGCTCCGTGTAGCCCATAACACAGACTGCTTATGCAAGTGCTGTTCGCGAGCGCCTATGAAGGCCGGCACGGCACGCAAGAGGGTGGCTGGCCAGCACCACGCCAGAATAACAGCTCGCCCGGACTGGAAGCAATCCCCGATGCTGCTATCAATGATGAGCGATTTAAACCCTATGACCTTTGACATGGGTAAAAAAATCCATAGTCTAACAGAAAACAAATGATGCTATTAGACCACCTCTAGTCAACGATAATTAACTGTCTTATTCACTTGGACTTTACTCAAATCACCCCAGTTGACCTCGGGGACGTCTAGGATTGGCTAAGATATTCACCACTGACGTGAGCATCGTGAAGGAGCCGAAACAACGCCATGTGACCAACAATTATTTGTAGCTGGGGAGTGGTGAGGAGTGGAAAGGTACGATGAAGAGTGGTGAGGAGTGGTGAGGAGAGGTGAGGTGCAATGGGGTTCGGTGAGGTACGGTAAAAAAAAGCTACGGTGAAGTGCTGCGAGGTGTGGCGGGGAGCGATGCATAGATAAGTGATGAGGTGCAATTGGGTGCGGTGGGAAGTGGTGCGGTGCGGCAAGGTACGGGTGAAGAGCGGTGAGGAGAGGCAAGGGAAGGTACGGTGATGAGCGGTGTGTTGAGGAGAGGTGATGAGCGGTGCGGTGAGCAGCGGGAGGTGAGGGGCGGCACCGTCGCCCGTGACGTAGAACCCCGGGAACTTCTGGAAGTAGGTGGCCTCGAAGCGCTGGTGGTCTCCGTACACGGAGCGCATCATGCCCGGCCACGGCTGCTTGAACACCTGCGAAGCACGGCAACACTCTACAACACACGCTGGTGTGCGGCTGTGTCAAGGTGCGGCGGTGTGCTGCCGCGTGGCTGTGCCGTATTGCGTCAAACTGTCTCGCGCGCGCCGGTACCAGGTATCCCTCCGCCTCCCCGTGTAACTCCTCTCCGTGCTCGTTCAAGATAGCCGGGACAACACCAAAAAACGGCAGGGTCTGCACCACGCACCAACACGGAAACCCACACACACGCACATCAACAAGCACACGCAGACAACAGCAAGGGCCACCATTCGCCCCGAAGTGGGGTTGACGTCACCACGCCTACTGCGCCAGGCTGGGTGCACTTTGAGGCTATCTGGATTAGAGCATGCTTGCTGGTTTTCAGGAGATCGTGGGACAGACCGAGAGGTGTTCAAGAAAGCAGACTGCGGAGATAAGCATGTGTGTGTGTGAATGACGTCACCCTGCTGCTGCTGCTCTATTTAAGACCGGGAGCAAGTGAGGGCTTCACCATTCTGGCAAATCGCCCGATGATGCTGGATGTAATTACCAGCGAAACGTCGTACTACTCAAATTTTAAACGATGTTGATTCACTCGTCAACACACCGGTGGGCTAAAGTAGTGAACTATTTGTCCTTTGTCAACGAGACATATTTTTTACTGATTGGCCGTGTCGGGTGGTGGAGGGTTACGACACATTTATAAATAACGCGATCTAACCTAAAAACCTTAATTATGAAAAATATTGGTCGCAAAAGCCTACGTGTTCAACTGTGTGAATCAACACTACGCTATAAACCTGGCGAACCAAGTTTGATTCCCGGTCACGGCCAACACCGGTGACGATTATCTGAGCCGGTGCTGGGCCTCCCCCTAGTTCGACTCAGCATGAAATGAGTACCTGGTGCGGTGTATAAACATTGCCACTGGGGAGACAAAGGCGGTCGGGCATGTTGCCGGCCACCCGTCCCCTCGTGTACCGTTCTGGCCTTTATAGGTGCTCGCGGACAGTACTTGCCCCAACAGTCTGTTAAGGCTATACGGGGGGGGGTCTTTGTCTTTGTGTGTGTGTGTGCTCTGCGTCACTCACGGCTGAGCCAGGCTTGAGGGGAGTGGCTCCTGGCAGAGGAGTGAGGACGTGGCCACCCTGCGCAGACACAGTCGCCCCGATAAGCGTCGCACAGCTCTCCTTGCGGCGGTCACGGTGGACACGGTGATTATGGTGGACATGTTGGACATGGTGGGTGTGGTGGACCCGGCGAGTGTGATGGACGTGGGAGACACATCGCGCGGGGTGATCATCGTGGGCACGATGGACGAGGTGGACACCCACCGTCTCCGTCTGCCAGAACGTGTCCACGATGGGGCAGTGTCCCCCGCCCACGACGCGGTGGTACCAGCGCCAGGCCTCTGGGTTGATGGGCTCGCCGACGGTGCCCAGCACCTTCAGCGACGACACGTTGTGTCTGCGCATCATCAACAGCAGCAACGACAACAACGGCCACCATTCGGCATGGATACCTCTTTTCTACTGCACAACCTCACCATACCAGGGCCGTTCTCTAGCCAGTCCAATGCAGCTCAGGAGGCACCAGTTTGTTTTTTCATTGCAGCAGCCAAGCAATGACGTCACACACAGTGAACGAGTGGAGACGCGGTGCAGGCGACGCGATAGCAACGCCGCATCCTCACCGCGTACCGACTCGTGTCGCGCGCGGTGAGCGCGCTATTCTCCCTGGCCCTAGCCTTGCTTGGCCACGAGCCAAATCCAGACATGGTGTGCGTCCACACGTGCCATTCTACGGTTTACACGCAAGCACCGTGGTAATAACCAGGGCAGCCTGTCGGATTCCAACCACGAACCTCTGCTGCAACAAGCGGCGACCGCGCCGCTGCTGGTGGGGCTCTCGTCGCCACGTCGCCCCGCGCGACGAGTCCGGGGACTCACTTGAAGACGTCCTCGTCTTTGTACTTCATGAGCAGGCGGATCGCCGTCGGCGCGGTGTAGAACTTGGTCACGCCATACTTCTCCACCACCTGCCAGCAGCGGCTCTGGTCCGGGTAGGTGGGTAAGCCCTCGAACTGCACGTACACACGCAAAGGCAAAAGTCCCCCGTGTAGCCTACACGGGATGTGGGGGGCAAGTGCCGTTCGGCAGGGGAGGCCGCAGGACTGGTTCCGGCATCACTCGCCGCTCGTTTCGGCCGCGAGCGGGAATTGAACTCGGGTCACCAGGTTCGCAGCACAGTGCAATAGCAATAACAAATATTGTGCCGCTCGCTGCAAAGACGATGAAAGCCGACGCCATTCGCCACTCAGTGACAGTAACATCGCCAAACAGCTGGTGCCAGGCTAGGTGCCACTTCGAAGGCTCGCTGGCAGGAGGTCACAGGATCGCTCCCGATAAAACCAGAACAAAGAGCCCCACGTGGCCTACACAGGCTGTTGGGGCAAGGTGCCGTCAGCTAGCACCGATGAAGGCCGATCGCAGATTATTTGGCAATATTGCATTGGCAGAGTTGCGCAAGCACACGTAACAAGCAAAAAAACACATTCATCAACAAAACTGCCCTGAAGAAAAGAGCTGGCGTCACACCGGTGATGCTTCTGTGAGAGTGAAAGAAATCAACTGGGAATGGGAAACGGGAGGCACGCGTCCTGCGAGTAGCTGACGAGGGACAGAACCAACTTCCGGAGTGGCGATCGTGAGAAGCAGAGGTCGCAATCGGGTACCCGATACCCGTACCCTACCCGATACCCGTACCCGATACCCGGCTACCCGGCTACCTGGCCGGGTACGGGTACGGGTACCTGTTTGCGACCCTGGTGCGGCTAGGTACGGGTAGGCCGTGAGTCACTGGTGAGTAACCGTTTGTCACTCATTTCCCAACGTCTCGTCTCTTCTCACAATTCAAGTTCGTAGAATCAACCCACCCGCGCCTGCAACATGGCTTCATCCCAGAGGTCGCAATCGAGTACCCGTACCCGTACCCTACCCGATACCCGGCCGGGTACGGGTAGCCGGGTATCGGGTAGGGTACGGGTACCCGATTGCGACCCTGGTGCGGCCGGGTACGGGTACGGGTAAGGAATCAAAACCCGTTGGCGACCTCTGGCGAGAAGGCAACAGAAGCAGGGGAGAGACACGGCGGAAGAGACGGCGGCAGCAGCGAGACGACATCACGGAGTTCGGAGGTCACGACCGGACAGGAGTAGCCGGGGGGAAGGAAAAAACAGAGGAGAATGATTGGGGGGGGGGGGGGGGGGAGACCTCTGCCCAGCGGTGGAAATTACAGGCTGACAACAACCACGACGGCAAAGAGGAAACGTTACGTTATAGGCAATGTTTAGTTATTGTAAGGGCTTGGATGAGGAGAGACGAAGAGCAGTGTGAGGGAGGAAAGCAAAAAGAGGTGACCTGTAGTTTTGTGGGTGAGTGAGTTAGTGAGAGGGTGAGTGTGCGTGTTGTTGTGACCTGCAGTGTGAGAAATGGGTGGGTGTGCGAGTGAGTGGGTGGGTGGGAGAGTGAGTGGGTGGGTGGGCGGGTGTGCGTGTGTGACAACAGGTGAGTGGGTGGGTGTGTGTGAACGAGTGTATTGTTGGGTCTGCCCCGTGACCTCCTGCCAGCGGGCGTTCGACACTTCACTTTGCCTCAAGGTGCACATGGCCTGGCACAAGCGTCGTGGTGACGTCACCGCCACTTAGTGGCGAATGGCGGTTGTTGTTGTTGTTGTTGTGCGGTATGCTGCTGTGGCTGCCAGGTGCTCGCTTACAGCACTTGCCCCAACAGTCTGTTCAGGCGAAACGGGGGAACTTTGTTGTGACCTGCAGTGTGGTGATGGCTAAACACGGCGTGATAGATGAGACGGAAACAGTTAGTGTGTGGTGGAGACCGATTCCTCAACATGGATGGAGGAATCGACGACCGAAGTCCACGGGACCAGTAGCCGTCATAGCAGCGATGATAGAAGAGCGACACGAAGGCGACCGACCGCCAGCCGACTGGCGAGGGAAAGCGAATGAGCGAGCGAGGACTGGATCAGCAATCGCCCCGACTGCCTGGTGTTGAACACTGTGGCGGTGTTGAGGCTACCAGGATGCTGGTGGCTCCGTTGGCGAGCGGGCCGTAGGTGATGTAGGAGTGGCCGGTGATCCAGCCGATGTCGGCCGTGCACCAGTACACGTCGTCGGGGCGGAGGTCGAACACCAGCTTGTGCGTGTGTGCAGCGTACACCACGTATCCCCCCACCGTGTGCAGCACGCCCTACACATGTGCACGTGCGCACACACATACACACGTGCGCACACACACACACACGTGCGCACACACACACACGCACACACACACACACACGCGCACACAACGGACAAAGATCCCCGGTATAGCCTTGCATAGATATTGGCGGCGAACAGGAATCCAATTTCGGTCACTGGGTTCATAGAGGAGTGCACGAAACACAGCACGACCGCTCCCACACACAAACACACGTACACATGTGTATAGACTTGAGTGCATGTACACGTGTGCCAGTGGCGGTATCTGTCCCATGGCGGGTGAGTGTATGTGTGCCGTGCCAGTGTGTGTGTGTGTGTGCCGTGCCAGTGTGTGTGCCGTGCCAGTGTATGTGTGTGACATGGTGTGTGCGCGTGTGCCATAGCGGGTGAGTGTGTGTGCCGTGCCAGTGTGTATGTGTGTGTGCCGTGCCAGTGTGTGTGTGTGGTGCCAGTGTGTATGTGTGACATGCTGTGTGCGTGTGTGACATAGTGGGTGAGTGTGTGTGCTGTGGTGGTGTGTGTGCATGTGTGCCGTGGCATGTGTGTGTGTATGTGCCGTGGTGGCATGTGTGCGTGTGCCGTGGTCATGCGTGTGTGTGCGTGTGCCGTGGCATGTGTGTGTGTGCCGTGGCATGTGTGTGTGTGCCATGGCGTGTATCCCGTGGTATGTGTGTGTGTGTGCCATGGTGGTGTGTGTGTGCGTGCCGTGCCAGTGTGTGTGCCGTGCCAGTGTGTGTGTGTGCCGTGCCAGTGTGTGTGACATGGTGTGTGCGCGTGTGCCATAGCGGGTGGTGATGTGTGTGTGTGCGTGTGCCGTGGTGGTGCGTGTGCCGTGGCGGTATGTGTGTGCGTGTGCCGTGGTGGTGTGTGTGTGTGCCGTGGTGGTGTGTGTGTGTGCCGTGGTGGTGTGTGTGTGTGTGTGCCGTGGTGATGTGTGTGTGTGTGTGCCGTGATGGTGTGTGTGTGTGCCGTGATGGTGTGTGTGTGTGTGCCGTGGTGGTGTGTGTGTGTGTGTGCCGTGGTGGTGTGTGTGTGTGTGTGCCGTGGTGATGTGTGTGTATGTGCCGTGATGGTGTGTGTGTGTGCCGTGATGGTGTGTGTGTGTGTGCGTGTGCCGTGGTGGTGTGTGTGTGTGTGTGCCGTGGTGGTGTGTGTGTGTGTGTGCCGTGGTGGTGTGTGTGTGTGCCGTGATGGTGTGTGTGCGTGTGCCGTGGCATGTGTGTGTGTGCCGTGGTGGTGTGTGTGTGTGCCGTGGTGGTGTGTGTGTGTGCTGTGGTGGTGTGTGTGTGTGTGCCGTGGTGGTGTGTGTGTGCCGTGGTGGTGTGTGTGTGCGTGCCTTGGTGGTGTGTGTGTGCGTGCCGTGGTGGTGTGTGTGTGTGCTGTGGCATGTGTGTGCCGTGGCGGTGTGTGTGTGCCGTGGTGGTGTGTGTGTGTGTGCCGTGCTGGTGTGTGTGCCATGGTAGTGTGTGTGTGTGTGTGCCGTGGCGGTGTGTGTGTGTGTCGTGCGTGGTGTGTGTGTGTGCGCCGTGGTGGTGTGTGTGTGTGCGCCGTGGTGGTGTGTGTGTGTGTGTGTGTGTCCCGTGGTGGTGTGTGTGTGTGTGTGCCGTGGCAACTTGCCTTGGGTTTGCCGGTGGAGCCGCTCGTGTAGAGGATGAAGAGAGGGTCCTCAGCGTCGCACCACACTGGGGGGCAGTCGGTGGATGCCACCGCCATCTCTACGTGCCACCACACGTCACGGCCCGCCTGCCACGGGGTCTGCGGGTGTGCAGAGAGCACACACAGACACACACACAGTCATAGAGATACACACAGAGGGTCATAGAGATACACACAGGGTCACACACACACAGACACACACACAGTCATAAAGATACACACACAGGGTCGTGGAGATACACACAAGGTCAAAGATACACACAGACACACACACAGTCATAGAGATACACAGAGAGGGTCGCGGAGATACACACAGAGTCACATAGATATATACAGTTATAGAGATACACAGAGGGTCGTGGAGATACACACAGTTATGGAGATACACACCCACCGTGATAGAGATGAGCACAGGACCAGAGATAAACACAGGGTCGTAGAGATATAAACAGTCACACACACACACAGGGTCACAGACGTATTTATAGAGATGCACACAGAAACAGTCGTAGATATACACACACACACAGATATTCACTAAGTGGGGGTTTCGACATCACCACGTTGCTTGTGCCAGGTTAGATGCACTTTAGGGTTATCACGTGAAATGTGGAAGGCTCTCTGGTCAGGGGATAGACCCAGGTGTTATGAGCTGACTGACAGATGCACCCCCACTGTGCCAAGTCTTATAAACAAACGGGCACACACGGACCACACACCGAATTAACACACAGACACAATGCTCCCCCATATAGCCTTAACATATGTTTGGGGCAAGTGCTGTTAGCGAGCACCTATGAAGGCCGGCACGGCACACGAGGGGGTGGGTGGCCAGCACCACGTCCAGCCACTAGGGAAGGCCTAGGACCAGTTCAGATAACCATCACTGGTGTTCGTGGTTGTGAACGGGAATAAAACTCGGTTCACCGGGTTCATAGCGCAGCACACCAACCACCACACTACCTACACATATAAAGATGGGCACACAAACACACACAGAGGTGACATGGAGGTCTCTCTCCCACAAAAATACGCACAACGTTTCTATTTTGAGCACGGTTAGATGTTTGAGCAAGCGCTGTTAGTGAGATGCTGAAATATCAGTTGCACGCACACGCACGCACACACATGCACCATGCACGGTACGCTATGTTGGGAAGGTCACTCTGGACGCAATCTGTTTCTGGTTACGTAACGACCCGCGACTGAAAATGCAACACATTCATAATTAGCACTGTGTTTGGCTCTACAATAAGAAAAAAAGGTATATAGTAGTAGACGTTTCGGGCAATGGCCCTTCTTCAGAGTGCATTAATAAAGAGGCCAGCAGAGAGAGCGAGCGAGTTGATGACCTCGGACTGGATTGTTTAAAAGGGCGGTAATTTGATTGCGTCTTGCAACTGCTGCGGGTTCTTGAAATGATGGCGTGGGAGTAATTAACACTCAGCGTGTCAGCGTGTGGAATGACTGTGGGGAGGACCGAGCGCACAGCGTTTAGCGCTGGTATCAGTTGCCCGCAAGTCCACTCAGCTCCACGTCCTCCTTTGCCGCATCGGCCTATCTCCTCTGCACCCCGTGCCGCGCCCTTTTATCCCCCCCCCCCCCCTCTCTATCCGGCCAAACAGAAGCAGCGTTGGGCATGCGGTTGGCAGGTGGGCATTTCGGGGCTACGCCATCCAGACAAGAATTTGATCACCTGCCTGTGGAGCTCACTCACGGGACTGCGTGTCACACGCACGCACAGACTCAAAACACGCGCACGCTTACAAAAGACAAAGATCCCCCGTACAGCCTTAACAGACTGTTGGGGCAAGTGCTGTTAGCGAGCAGCACCTATGAAAGCTGAGGGGGTGGGTGGCCAGCAACCACGCCCGACCGCCTTTGTCTCCCTAGTGGTGATGTTTACACGCCGCACCAGGTACTCATTTGAGGCCGAGTTCAAGACCGGTTCAGATAACGGTCACTGGTGTTGGCTGTGAGCGGGAATCGAGCTCGGGGTCGCTGGGTTCGGAGTGCGGTACGCTCATCGCCACACTACCGCTCACGCACACACACACAGGCGTACACAGAAATAGGGAAGCACTGTCAAGGACGCCTCGGAAAACAAATGGTGGTGTGGTTAACAATACGCCCAGCTGCCTTCGTCTGGCCAGCGGTGACGTGTTTACACAATGCACCAGGTACTCGTTTGGCTGAGTCGACCTGGGGGAAGCCCAGAACCGATTTTGGGTATAACTCGATTTGCCGGGTTCACAGTGCAGTGCGCCGACCGCTACACTGCCTCTTCCCACGCGCACAAGATTATGCGCAGTCTCGCAAAGACACAGCGTTACACACACACACACAACCACAGACTTGAACGCATATACTTACAGGCATACACACACACACAGCCGCACAATCGCATACATACACACGCATACATATACACAAGAACAAATCAACACAGGGGAGGGCGGCCTAGGACCGATTCAGTCGTCACTCGCCACTTGTGTCAGCCGTGGTCGGGTGTTGAAATCAGATTGCTGGGATTCCACTGGTCTACTGTTGCCCACTTATACACAAACACATATAAGAGACAAAGCTCCCTGTAACTGTTTCAAACAGGCACAGATGTTATTTAAGAGCGCTCCATGTTTAGCAAGCACAGAGAAGAGAGGGAATTACTATGGCCGAGAAGACCTGGAGTTTCGCCAGTGCCATGCAGCCGATGGAAATATAATGCTGCTTAAATTATTCTGAGTGAGACCTCCGCTGCGAAACCATAACCAGTCATAACCACACTGCACCCCCTCAGCTCCCTATGAGTGATGGGGAGTTGAGGGGGTGCAGTGTTTGTTGATATATAATACCCAGGCAGGTGCTTGTTTTTGGTGGGGCTTAGAGTAAGGTCCAAACCTTTTCACGGCACATTAAAGTCTCCCACTCCTCAGAGTAAGGTCATCTTCATACTTAACATGGTTGACCAATAACCAATAAGGAGCCATCCCTTGAATGGGCTGGGGGCACTGATCAGCCTCTCAATGTATTAAACTATGTGGTCAAAAAATATGATAAATAATGGAGGGGCCAGAGGACATCCCTGTCACACCCAGAAAAAGGCTCCGACTCCAGGCCACACAGCTTTACCCGGGCCAGCCCACCATCATGAAGGCCCTTAATGATGTGAGCAGAGGGTCAGGGACCCCGAAAGCACGAATAACTGTGATCCCCAGCCTATTGATTATATCACCAGCCTTGACCAAGTCAATTAAGCACATCAAATTACAAAGACAAAGATCCCCCATATAGGTTTAACAGACTGTTGGGGCAAGAGCTATTAGCGAGCACCTATGAAAGTTGGCACGGCACACGTGGGGGTGGCTGGCCAGCACCACGCCCGACCGCCTTTGTCTCCCCAGTGGAGATGTTTACACACCACACCGAGGGGAGACCCAGGACAAGTTAAGATATTCGTCACTGGTGTTGGCCGTGAGCGGGAATCGCATTCGCGTCGCCCGGTTTGTAGCGCAGCGCGTTAACTGCTACACTACCACTCCAGACATAAAATGACACGCATACTGATGCACACACACCGATACACACACTTTGCATTACGTGGGTCGTGGCCAGCACAGACCCAATAAAAATAGGCAACGGGGAAACAAGGGGGCACGATGACCCTGTAAGAGTATCCCTTCTTCCCCCCCCCACCATCTCCCCACCCCACACCTTTTCCTCCCTCTGGGCCAGGAACTCCGTGTGAGGGCCATTTATTTATTTATAATTTCCAGGAGGGCCACGCTGAGTCGTACGACTCTTTTGTCAGGAGGGTCCTGCCGTAATTAGTTTTTACTTTTTAAAGATGTTTTCAGCCAATGAATGACGAGTGTTTATTATACGCGCGGGAGGAAACCGGATCGCCCGGAGAAGATCGAGGTTCGTAGTGCAGCGCGCTTACCACCACATCCCCGCTCGCCGCACACACACCTACACACACACGCACCACACACCTATGCACACACATACACATGTTCATGCAATAAATCAGAAGGCCAAGTCTGAAAGTGCCTGTGCCAAGCCGGGTGGCATAAAAATTGTTTGCATGGCACAAGGGCAGAAAACATCGCTCTACTCGTACAGACACGCGCGCACACACAGAGATTAATAGGTGTGTTAATTTTACACACAGTCAAGGTGCCCTTACAAGCTGGGCAGGACCGTCTGTTAGTGAGCCTCTGTTAGACAGCATGTGCAAAATGTTTAGTAGGAGTGGCAGCAACAGTGGATGAGGCCTTGCCACTGTAGCTCTGGTGTTGGGAATTCTGCTGCTGCTGCTGCTGTTTCTAATTTGTCGTTCATTAACTTCTACGATGCAGTAAAGCTCGAGTTTTCAATGTATATAATCGCACGTGCAAATTCTACATGGATATACAAAGGTGGTCGAAAAGTCAGGATACATAAGGTTATTTAATTTATTTTAACACTGGCATTAAAACATTTAAATTGTTTATTGCTGAAGTTAATATTTTACCTTTGATAATGATCTATTTATCTTCTTCCTCTTTTGATGACATTTAAAAATGGAAAGAACATTGACGAAAGACGAATTGGTTCAATTCGTCTTCATATACGCTAAAGAAGGCAGCTGTAATCTAAAAACAAAAATCCTCACTTCATTTTAAATTAATGCATCGTGCATTCATGTTCATGGAAGTCAGCTTGAACATTCGTTAAAGTAAATTAGACAACCCATTTGGTTCAGAAGAAGGAAAAGAACCCAATGTGCCCTGACTTTTCACCCACCCTGTGGTACAATTCCCAGTTTTTTTTATTCAAACATCAAGGTCAAGAGGTCAGAACAGCAAAACTCTGTTGCGGAGCCCCGAGCTCTCCAACACGTGCCTTGAGGTTACATTAACGAGTCGAGCACAATTTCAATCAACCTCGTGGAGGACTCCGGTGACGTCGCTACGTGTACACAGCGCAGCTCTTCCGTCAATCCACTGCTGGAGGGAAGCCCTCCCCCCCCCTCCCCCACGTGCAGCGCGGGCAACGGCGGCCACGTTGCCACGCTTCACCGTGCCGGTCAGCGCGGCTCGGCAAAGCCTACGACGGCAGCCACTGCAGTGACGCTAATGGTGGGGGGGGGGGGGGGGCGATCCTGAAAGTCATTTTAAAGTCAGATTTTTTTCCTTTTCTATTTAACAAGGATTCAAAAACTGGCGTCAGGCAGCCCGGCACCAGGCAGTCCCTACAGTTTCTTTCTCCCATCCAGTTATTTTACTGAGGCCCAAACTGGAGCTATTCCCATTTAAAGTAATCTAGATTGAAACACTAATTTCTTCCAGAACTGCTTTTTTGTGTTTAGTTTGTCGTCCTTCCCCCGCACCTCCGACTAGCACGGTTGGATATGTACGGTGAGAAATGTACGAACGTTCATATGGGCCGCTGGGCCCATGACCTTCTGGCATCGGTGATAGGAGCAGCAGCGGCCGTCCTCAACTACTTGGTGATCATCATCATTGAGCGTCGTCGTCACCGTATCCCTTCTGCTGCTGGCGTTTCTGTATTATTCCTCTCCGTTCTCATGCCTCCTCCTTCCCTTCATCAGTTTACCTCTTTCACAGTCGTCCTCTGCTAATGTGGCCTCCTACGTATATATCTGACAAGGGTTCTTGGGTTCTGCACTCCCACCAATTCACTTTCCCGGACACCTACAAACAGCCCGCAGCAGCAGTGGCGGTTGTAACAGCGGCGGTAGTAACAGCAGCAGTGGTAGTAACAGTAGCTGGAGCGATGGTGAAAGCTGTCAAACGCACGGTGCTGGAACGGACGACGCCACGAGAAACGGTGATGCCTGCGAGCAGTGTGGCAAGGTAAGCGGAAAAAACGCAAGGAAGTTTGAGCTGACAACAAGGACCACGGTCCGAAATGTCACCTGTTGTAATTGTCCCCAAATCTTTGGGGCCACAGAGTTGTTATTTTTCGATTGAAAGCTTTCGTGACTGCAGGGATTCATCTTCTTGGTTCTTTCGGTAAAGTCACGTAGAATGGAAATAATAAAATAATAAAAATAAAACAGACTGTCTTCTCGAAAGACCTGTTCTCCACCTGAGGACGGCTGCTTGCGTTGTGGCAGAAACGTCGTGAGAATTATTTTATAATGTTTTATTTTTATTATTTTATTATTTCCATTCTATGTGACTTTACCGAAAGAACCAAGAAGATGAGTGTTGTTATTGACGAACGCGTTGAGTGTTATTTTTGTTGCTTGTTCCTCGGCACCGCTGCCGACACAACAGCAGCCAAATCGCAACGAGAAAACTGAACGCTTTTGAAATCGGTTCAGTGGATTCGAGTGTTCACCTTTGGGCCTTGGCAGCAGTTGTAATCTTAATGTTAATCTCATGCGAACAACGGCACTAACATTGACAGTGATCGTCATAACTCTACCGCTAGTCTATCCGTAACGCTAACGAAACCCTGATTATGACCCAAGTGGTAAATATTAAATCTAACCCGGCCCTAATCGATACTCGAGTCTTAAACATTAACCCTAAGCTTACCCAAAAATCTCAAGCCTAACCTTCATAAGACCCTTGTCCTTAACCCTTACTAACCTGAAGCCTAATCTTACATTTTAAACTAAAACTAATTGTAATGCTAGCTTAAAACCTTAACTATAAGCAGGCCATAACCCTAAAACTATTAAACTCTTAATTATAATCCAAACCTCTCAATTATAACTCGAGTCTTACAATCTAACCGTAACCCAAACCTAACGATCACCGTGTCAAAACTCTCCAAAGTCTTAAAGCCTAACCCTAACCCCAACCCAACTCTAAGGCACTGTTAAGGAAACTTCCATCCACACACGAACCCTTAACACCAACCCTGCCAGCAACCGTAACTTCTCTCCACATGACTTGGGGTAAAGTTGACCTTTTCCTAGGGCGTCTACTTTATTAACTTCGCATGCAGGTTGTTCTCGCAGCCAATGTTACGATTCGTAATTGACGTTTGTGTCGGGTGATGGAGGGTTCTTAATTACGCAAATTCGGTCAGAACGTCACGGGGCCTAACCCGCAAAAAAAACACTTTATTAATTGCCGAGTCGATTTGAAATTAGGTGGGCATCTGACCAGTCACCTTATAAATCCCACACAGCGCAAAGAAAACTGTCGCTTGGCACCAGGAATTTGAAAAAAACAGTGACGGCCGCTAAAATTATCCACCGAGGGACCAACAACATGAGGGGGGGGGTGCCAAGAGGCCATTCTCGCGGCCTGACCAACGCTCGCCATGCCACAGAGCATTCTGGGGCTTCACCGTTTCTCTCGCAGGCGGAAAGACAGGAAGGGGTGAGTAGAACGGAGGAGTGTGAAACCCAAACACAGCCGGCGTGTGATATTTTGTCGATGTCCGTCAGACCTTCGTATGTGTCCAAGACACCGATTGTCGAAACCAGTCCAGAGTTTTGCTTGCACTGAATCGATTCTGATGACATTATGCCATCCCAGAAGGCCTTGCGGTCGACAGGAAGTGTGCACTCCCAGTAGGCCTCGTGGTTGAGTAGTGTAAACATAGTCTAATTATTTATGTTGCATATCAGGCTGCCCAATAGAACTTCAAAATCATCGGTTGAAGTGATATCCTGTGCTGAAAATGTGTGTCTGCCATCCTGAACATGTTGTGATAATAATGCATTTATTTACACAGGAAATATTTTAGCATTGGGATGTTTGGCTATTATCATTGTTTTTATTAGCTACGGAAGGGAACTGGAGAACCCGGAGGAAACTTGTGCAGAACAGGGAGAGATTATACCAACTCTACATGGAGAGGTGCCCGAGTTGTGAATAATATCCACAGGCCCTTCTTGCTGTGTGTTGACCACAGCATCACCCATCATGCAATGCAGGATCCTAATGTCCTGGCAAGACTCACCGGGTCCTCGCTCAGGGCTCAACACTGAGAATGATCATCATCGTCACGTTGATTACCTTTGATCATCGCGTGACGATGATCAACTTTCATCGGCAGCAGCATCGTCAGTCATCATGATCATCAACATCGCCAATCATGAGCATCGTGATTAATCATCATGATCATCAACATCGTTAATCATCATGGTCATTGTGATCGAGATAATCAGCATCATTAATCAAGATCATCAGCATCGTTAATCACTGTGGTGATTATCATCATGATCATTATCATCGTGATCATCACCATCATCAGCGACATCCGCAACACAATCGTCCTCCCTCCAGAGTTCTCAAAACTGACCACCACTTGTGCGGACAGGTCAACAGTGGTTGCCCTTACAGACGATCGTGTCCCCTGCCACGGCAATGTGGAATTTCTGCCGGCAGCCAGGGCTGGAAAGAAGACCAACGCCAGACCCCGACATTTGTTTGTATTCGTTGAGATCGGACGGAGACGAAAAACGGAACAAAGCAAAGCGCAGTGCGGCGTTTGGGTTACACATTCCAGTTTGCGTTAATAATTGCCGTGTACCGGCAAGAGTTCACCCTTTTTCCATTGGTACATCCGAGCCGAGCCAGCTCGGGGGGGGGGGGGGGGGGGGGGGGGCAGGGCCTCATGGTACAGGCGGTTTTCCCCACTGATGTTGGCCGAGCCGAACCGGAACCAAAACTGTGATGTACTGGGCTGCACAAGCAGACATCTGAATCTTGCTCGGGACCAAACAGGCCTGGGGGGGAGGGCAGGGCTAATGACAGGCGCTCACTGCGCGCGACATCGGTCGATCGGCACGCCGTGAGATACGCGGCGTCGCCAGCGCCGCGTCGTCTACGCGCGAGTTGACTTGCTCATCGCGCGCGACCCCAATGGTACGGCTCGGCTTCCTCAGTGGGGAAAAACACGCAACACCCGCGCCGCCTCTTGAGCCACGCGGGGCTAGCTCAGCACGACCACGGCGGAGGGGGCGGCTCGGTTGTACGGAGGAAAACGAGGCCGTCGAGTGGCCCTCCCGGGGCCCGGGTTACCTGTTGACGGACACAATGTCGGCCGCGCGGGGTATTCTTCGAATCCGACTGGGCGGGCGAGACCTGCTGGAGGGAGGCAGAGCCCTGAACCCACATCGTCCTCCTCCTCGTCACCCAGAAAGACGCGGACGGAATCGCTTAGGCAGCGAGTGGCCTTTCCCGTCCGAGGTGTTGCCACACTCGTTAAAAAATAATGCATAGCGGCTATTGTGTCTGTGCGTGCGTGCGTGCGTGCGTTGGGGGGGGGGGGGGTGTTTGTGTCTGTGTGTCTGTGTGTCCGCGTGTGCATGCGCATACATGTGCGCATATGCACGCGTGCGTGTATCTGTTTGTCTTCGTGTGCGCATGTGTTTTATCCGCACGTGTGTGTGTGTGTGCACATGTTCATGTGTGTGTGTGCGCGCGCATGTATGTGCTGGCGTCCACTCTTCACAGCTTTACCTGGAGGCCGGGACAAGGGCGCTTGGGTTGTGGGGAGTGCGACCCTGCCTTGCACTTCCCCTTCGTCTCCTTCCCCCCTCCCCCGCTCGGCTGCGCCCCCACGCTCTCCTCCTTTCCGTTCTCCGAGTCGCAGCCCAAGTGCCGGACCACAATGCACCGCTCCACCACATGGCGGCCCCTGTGGGCATTGAAGCGCGCACGTGTGACCCCCACGTGTGACCGAGTGTGACTTGCGGACACCGAGGCAGGCCCCCCGGAGTAGAGGACCCAACTCCTGCAAGACAGGACTGGTACTGCTGGCAGAGATTACTGGGACTGCTGAGCAATAATCATCATCATAACGTGTTGATTTCAGCTAGCGTCATGCATTCAGACCGCATCTCAAAACGCTGTAAAATGTGTTACCTGCACGGTTTTTTGCACGGAGGAGCGGGAAACCACAGACAAAGCAGGAAGGCAGCCAGCAACCTCCAGGAAGAGATTACTGGGACTCCTGGAGGAGAGTCCTCGGATATCATGCTTCCTGGAGGAGGCTACTGAAGAGCATTAAGACCACGCCATTGCCCAGTGGTGTGACGCGTGGTGTGACGCGTGGTGTGACGCGCGGTGTGACGCACGCACCTGTCGATGCACTTCTGCAGGGCCTCGTTGGCGATCTCCTTGAGGTTGACGAGCTTCTGCCCTCGGTAAAATCCGTCTGCAAAGCACAAAGGGGAGGAGGACATGGTGCCTACATTAACCACAAGCACCACCTGATCAAATGTAATTTTAAAACACAGGAAAAAGTCAATCATTCATATGCTCGCATTATAGAACAATTTCCAACACGTGCTTGTATTGAATTAATGAATGGGGGCAACATTCAACAGTTCTCGAATAGCAACACAAATTTACACTAAAGTTGCACTTATATTGGATCATCTTTACCAGAGTTACTGTGACCCGTAGTTGTGAACAGACAGACAGAGCTAACGCATTACCCCTTTGATCAATGAGGCCGATATTAAACAGGATAGGTTCCCGATAGCAGACAACTTTACACTCAAGTTTTGTTGATGTTCGATCATTGTTATGCAGACAGACGAACAGAGCTCATGTGTTAACGTGTGGCTCAGGGGACAAGTCAGAACACTGAGCGAGCACTGCTGAGATCCTGCGAGTGTGCTTGTGTACATTCGTACATGAATGTGCCAGTGTCTACGCCAGTGTCTACGCTGCGAGTGCATGTGTATGTGTGCGTACATGACAGTTTAAGTGTGCGACTGCGCGCGTGCGCACACGAGAGTGTGTGTAAGCTTATGAGTGTGCATCTGTTCAACTGAGCACCAAGTAAATTGCTAATTGTTCTTGAGCACGCTCAAGAGATCTTGTAAATTCATACTTGAGTCTCTCAAAAAACGGCGGCAGTTTTGGCCTAAAATCCAGCCGGACTAAGTGCACAACCAACGTTAAATATGATGGGGTTTGTGCGTGTGGCCATGACCACAGATTCACTGCGCTTGAGAACCCGGTTTAACCGCGGGCAGTCGAATCCCAGACTCAAAACCCAGAATGTCAGCGGTGCCAGCTCAGCGACTCTGACCTCTGAGCTTAAATTGGAAACTAATTTCTTCAGAAATGCTTTTCCGTTTAGTTTGTTGTCCTTACCCCGCATCTCTGATTAGCACAGTTGGCTGCATATGGTGCGAAAGAAGTTCAACAAACATATGAGCCTCCCAGACATCTCCACTCACCGCTTCTGTTATTGTCACATTTTAAACAATACTACAATGCAAGAGCCGTGAGGCTTAATGCTCCTACACATCTCACATCTCATCTCAGCACATTTAAAAGGGCACCTCCAGTGGCAGCGGCTGTCCCCTGTGTGGCATAATGTGACTCAAGCACCTGGCCTGCAAACAAGTATTTCTCTGCCAGTAGGGATCGGGGGGGGGGTTGTGGGAAAAGATTACTGCTGCTGTGGTGGAACCACAATTAGGATTGAAAGCCTAAATAAATTCGCTCCGTCTGTCTCAACGGGGAGGCACGACAACGCTTGTGTAATAAAGGACTCTGTCAGGAGATGTTGGTCTCCGTTCGTCCTTTATTTAGGTTCTTCTCCGCACCCCACCGGTCTCCTCCACGGACCAGCGTCGTCTCCTCTTGCGTGCCCCCGCACGCTCTGCTAGCCATTCCGGTAGCCCCGTGTGCCCCGCACACTCTGCTCTCGCTCCGCACACCCTGGCCGACGGTGTGCCAAGCCCCATCAGCCACGTGGCTGATGGCGCGGCGGCCACCCAACGTGGTCCCGCCTCTTCACTTCATCGACTGGCCCCGATCTCTTCCGGGCTCCCTCCTATAACCTCTCTCCCACGTGACCCTGACTCCTTCCTTCCGGATCGTCACATCCGGCCTTCCCATTTACGCTCGCATTACACTTGTAAGAATGATCCAGACATTAACGACATTTTAGTAGAAGGTTGCGTTGCTATTGTAGGGATGTTAAAGAGAGGGCCGTTATGTATGGCAGTCTATGGGAAAGGAACACAGTGGGCGGGGCTACGTGTGTGCACAGGGAGATGCCCTCTGCGACGTCCGAGCCAGACACCCTGGGGGGGGCTGGTTTGGCGTTATGATCCCCCGGGGCCCCACCCCTCAAGGAGGGTTGGGTATAAAAGGGGACGTTATATGGGCTCGGGAGTTAGTTATGTTATAGTTAACTAAGAAGACTGAAGACGTCTTAGATAGAGCCCTGGACTCCCTCGTTCGATGTCCTTGTCAGGGCCGAACAGGACCGAGCCAGCGGCGTGGTCCCGAAAGCCAGAGCCGGTGCTCTTCTAAGAGCTGGTCTGGGACTCCGGGTACCGGCCCGACTTACCAGTGTCGGGCCAAGTAGCCTCCCCTAGCCCAGTAGTGGAGGACTGTGAGGTAGGCTAGGACTTAGCCAGGAAGTGTATCCTTGAGCTAGTCGGGTGAGGGGGCCGATACCCCCTCCAGTGCTGTATGTCACATACGAGTTGTGTTGAATAAATATCCGTGTGCCTCCACCTCGGCGTCAAGTGTCTTCACCGGTACTTCAACTGGTGTCAGAAGTAAAACTCGAACATGGACACGCGGAAGACAGCGCGGCCCAAAGTACCGAAAGAGGAAGATATTGCCGAGATCGTCTAGCCCGAGACGGCTACACAAGCCATGGTGCAGCCGGGGCCTGATGTCTCCTTACCGGGGCATCTGAGTGAGGAAGGACCACGGCCGGACGCGTTGCGGCTGGCTCACGGGAGGCTGGCGGGGCTGCTGTGTGCCGCTGCCGCCGCGCTGGAGACCGTCGCGCGGCTGGGGGCCGGTGGTTCAACACGGGCTGAGGCGGCCCAACGACCAGGGCGCCTTCCCGCCATTTCGGAGCAGCCCGAGTTTGAATCTCCCGCCATCGACGCTGCAGCTGTTCGGGGCGTGGCCAGCCTACACATCCACTCCGGCATCGCCGTCGCTGAGGCTGCGACGTCATCACCACCGCGACGGGCGATCCCATCGGCCGCTCGCACCGACGCACAGCCGAGTGGAGGTGACATCTGCCTGCAGGAATCTACAACAACCGCTGCACTCCATCAGAGGCTGCGGGCCCGGGCTGCTCGCCATCGACGGCGAGTTGGAACAACGTCGCCCGTCAACTCGACCAGCTGCTGGTGGCAAGGGAGTGGCCGGGTGTTGGTGAGTGATGGCGAAATTGGCTGTGGCATTCGCGCCGTTTCGGCGGTGTCGGCGTTCCCGCCATTTGCACCATGCCGGCGTTTCACGCCACTTCAACGTGCCGGCGTTCCCGCCTTTTGCGCCTTGTGCGCTTTGCGCCTTGTGTGCCGGCCTCGTGGGCCTTGTGTGCCGGCCTGGCGGCGTACCACTGCAGCCCTGTGATTACGGGCCTCCCTCCCCCCATTGAAGTAAGAAGAGAGGGGGAGGGCATCGGTGGTGAGAGCGAGAGGGGTCCGTGATTGAAGAGAGGGTTCCGACTATGGAGACACTGCTGGGAGGAACTTTTTCAGTTTGACTCTCCGGTTTTGTGTTCCTCGCGGACGGTTTTTCCCTCTGTTCTTTTTGCATTTTGCCCTGTGCGAGTGTTATTTGGTTAATGTTGAAGGGGATTTTTGAAATTATAGGTTCGGTTTGTTTCAAACCCACTGGTTGGTTCCTGTCCGTTGTTGCACAGAGGATGTCTTTTGTGCGAGAATGCTCCTCGTGTTCTACATGGATCGGGGGTGCGTTTCCGTTAATTGCGTTGCTCTCTCCACTCGGTTGGTACAGCTGCATTGCTGCAATGCGAGTCTCGGAGATGAGGTGTACGGATACGGGAAGTGAGGTGTATGTGTTGTGATGGTAGGATGTCTTTTGTGCGGAAATGCTCCTTGTGTTCTACATGGATCGGGGGTGCGTTTCCGTTAATTGCGTCGCTCTCTCCACTCGGTTGGTACAGCTGCATTGCTGCAATGCGAGTCTCGGAGATGAGGGGTACGGATACGGGATGTGAGGTGTATGTGTTGTGATGGTGTTAAATTGCCATGGTGACATGCTGCCAGGGATTTGGAATTGTGGTGCTGGCTGTCACTTATCTTGGGGCGCAGATCCTGACCAGGATGGCCCTGTGAGTGTTGCGTGTTTAACATGAGCGTTGTGGTCCCGTCATGCAATGGCTGACGGCTTGACCTGACAGCCCGGAGATTAAAACACTCCGTGGTATGTCTAGCCTAGTGGGCTGTGTGCTCACATGGCTCAGAGAGTGTGGTCCCGTCAGGCTGTGTCTGACGGCTTGACCTGACAGCCCGGAGATTAAAACACTCCGTGGTATGTCTAGCCTAGTGGGCTGTGTGCTCACGTGGCTCAGGGAGTGTGGTCCCGTCATGCTGTGTCTGACGGCTTGACCTGACAGCCCGGAGATTAAAACACTCCGTGGTATGTCTAGCCTAGTGGGCCGTGTGCTCACATGGCTCAGGGAGTGTGGTCCCGTCAGGCTGTGTCTGACGGCTTGACCTGACAGCCCGGAGATTAAAACACTCCGTGGTATGTCCAGCCTTGTGGGCTGTGCGCTCACATGGCTCAGGGAGGGTGGTCCCGTCATGCTATGGCTGACGGCTTGACCTGACAGCCCGGAGATTAAAACACTCCGTGGTATGTCTAGCCTAGTGGGCTGTGTGCTCACGTGGCTCAGGGAGTGTGGTCCCTTCATGCTGTGTCTGACGGCTTGACCTGACAGCCCCGGAGATTAAAACACTCCGTGGTATGTCTAGCCTTGTGGGCTGTGCGCTCACATGGCTCAGGGAGGGTGGTCCCGTCATGCTATGGCTGACGGCTTGACCTGACGGCTCGGAGGTTGAGACCCTCTGAGGCGCGTTGAAACAGTGAGCTAGAGATTCGTAAAGTTCGAGTGGGTTAGCCAGTTTTCATGTATATAGGTTGTGTTCATTGTGTGTTGTGTGTATGGTGGGTTTCCTGCAAATTGTATATAGCTTGTTTTTTTTATGGAATTCGTATTTATCAAAGGGGGGGTGCGTCGGGTTGTTTTCTCTTCTTGCTGTTGCATTTTTTTTTTTTTGGTTGTGTTCTTGTTGCCGTTCTTGTTATTGTTGAAAGTTAGTGAGGCACACGCGCGGTTACGGTAAAAATTCATTTTTATTGTCATTCTGTATGTTGGCAGCCGGGACGGCTGCGAGCTATGTAGGGGGGAGTGATGTAGGGATGTTAAAGAGAGGGCCGTTATGTATGGCAGTCTATGGGAAAGAAACACAGTGGGCGGGGCTACGTGTGTGCACAGGGAGATGCCCTCTGCGACGTCCGAGCCAGACACCCTGGGGGGGGCTGGTTTGGCGTTATGATCCCCCGGGGCCCCACCCCTCAAGGAGGGTTGGGTATAAAAGGGGACGTTATATGGGCTCGGGAGTTAGTTATGTTATAGTTAACTAAGAAGACTGAAGACGTCTTAGATAGAGCCCTGGACTCCCTCGTTCGATGTCCTTGTCAGGGCCGAACAGGACCGAGCCAGCGGCGTGGTCCCGAAAGCCAGAGCCGGTGCTCTTCTAAGAGCTGGTCTGGGACTCCGGGTACCTGCCCGACTTACCAGTGTCGGGCCAAGTAGCCTCCCCTAGCCCAGTAGTGGAGGACTGTGAGGTAGGCTAGGACTTAGCCAGGAAGTGTATTCTTGAGCTAGTCGGGTGAAGGGGGCCGATACCCCCTCCAGTGCTGTATGTCACATACGAGTTGTGTTGAATAAATATCCGTGTGCCTCCACCTCGGCGTCAAGTGTCTTCACCGGTACTTCACTATTACTGGCCTACCCTGTCGAAAAAGCAGCCGAATTTAGCAAAGGGTTCTTGGCCAAAATTCTGTTTAAACCCAAGGTGTGTTAGCGGTGCCGCTAGCACAGCAGCAGCAGCAGCTCATGGAGCTTCCCAGCCACCGTTATTTATTCTGATCACATCCGATGGTCCGATAGCAGACTTAATGGAACTGTAATCGAGCCAGAGTGCCTTTAGCAATGATTGAATAACGACATCACAATTACATTAAGCCGGTATGGAGAGTGCGCGCTTTGGGTGTGTGTGTGTGTGTGCGCGCAAGTTGTGGGTTTGTGTATGGGGAGTGGTGGATGGAGCGTGGTGGATGGAGCGTGGTGGATGGAGCGTGGTGGATGGAGAGTGGTGGATGGAGCGTGGTGGATGGAGCGTGGTGGATGGGGAGTGGTGGATGGGGAGTGGTGGATGGAGCGTGGTGGATGGAGCGTGGTGGATGGAGCGTGGTGGATGTAGCGTGGTGGATGGAGCATGGTGGATGGAGCGTGGTGGATGGAGCATAATGGATGGAGCGTGGTGGATGGAGCGTGGTGGATGGAGCATGATGGATGGAGCGTGGTGGATGGAGCGTGGTGGATGGAGCGTGGTGGATGGAGCATGATGGATGGAGCGTGGTGGATGGAGCATCATGGATGGAGCATGGTGGATGGAGCGTGGTTTATGGAGCGTGGTGTAGCGGTTAACTTGCCACTCGATGAACCCGGCGCCCCGAGTTCGATTCCAGCTCACGCCCACCAACACCAGTGACAATTATTTGAATTGCTCACGGGCCTCCCCTAGGTCGACTCAGCCTTTAACGAGTACCTGGCACGATGCATAAATGTCGCCACTCGGGTGACAAAAGGCGGCCAGGTATGTCACTGGCCATCCACCCCCTCATGAAGACCGGCACAGAACACAGGTGCTCGTTAACAGCACTTGCCCCAAATGCCTGTTAATAGGCTATACAGGGGTCCTTTATCTTCGTCTTTTGAGTGCCCGTTTGTGTATAGGGAGTGTTGGTGACGCACAGCGATTTAGCGTCTGTGCGTGTGCGAGCGTTACCGGCTGTGATCAGCATGCAGCACTTGGAGTCCAGGATGCGCTCGCTCAGCGAGTCGGAGGAGAAACCTGCGAACTGAGACGACGCAGAGGAAGCGTGTTCACGCGCCGGTAGCACGCCCTGCACACGCGCGCCGGGTGCCTTCACACACGCGCTGGTAGCACACCCTGCACACACGCGCCGGGTGCCTGCAGCGTCTTCCCAGCGTCCCGCCACTTCCCGATGCATCCCACTGCCTTGCCACGTCCGCTGCAACTCACGGAGCCTCACGGAGCCTTGCTGCGCCACGTCGCGACTCGCGGTGCACGACATCCGAAGCCCTGTGTTCATCTTCCCCGTGTTCCGCAATAGCCCAGCGGGGGGGGAGCGAGCGGTGTCCTTCTGCGCTGTCCCCACCACTGGCAATGCCCGGACGTGCAATGTGGTGCCCCCCCCCCCCTCTGCTCCACATCACCGTTTCTCGAACACATGCCCCTTCTACGTAGGTATGTTGAACTTCTTCTGCACCGTACGTAGCCAACCATGCTAGCCCTTGACAGATGCGTTCCGAAATCGCCACTATCCATCGCACGTCCTCCCATCATGCAATGCCCTACTGCTGCTATACCTGACTAGCGCTCCTGCACCACACTGCTGCAAGCCAGTATACACCCTGCTGCACTCTGCTGCACATTGCTCACCACGATCGAGTGCACGGCTCCGATGCGAGCGCAGGCCAGCATCGCCACCACGAGCTCCGTGATCATGGGCATGTAGATGGCGACGCGGTCGCCCTTGCCCACGCCTGGGGGCACGCGCGCGGAAACGCAGACGCACGGGAGGGGCAGGGAGACACGCACAAGGAAATACACAACAAGCGGCATGCATGCACGGGGATACATAGGAACACAAACGGGACATGTGGAGACACACGGGCATGCGCAGGGACGCATATAAATGCGGAAATCAAACTCGGGTTGCCAGGTTCCTAGCACAGCACCCTTAACCACAACACTACTACTCCCCACATAGACTCGCGGCGGCACACACGTGTGTGCGTCGACTCAACGTGAAATACAGCAGCAGAGGCAAACGCGGCACACAAGATCACGAACACAGGTCCGCGCAGAGACAAAATATCCCGCGTTTAGCAATTTCCATAGATATTTTACAGAGGAGGAATCCGTGGTATGTGAGCACAGCAGCAACAGCAGCAAAACGAAAAGACAAAGCCATCAATATGGCTGAGGACGATTACAGCAGGATCCTTAATGGCTAATGAACAGACGAGGTGTTTGTTTATCGGTCGTAGACGAAACACGCGCGAATCCAAATAGGCAGTTGCCAACATCATGTGGGAACAAGAGGCGCAAGAAAAAAAAAGTAGGTACATGTGCAAGTCAGCTCTGTGTTTTGGTCTAACGGGGAAGTAAGGCGGGGAGAGAGAAGTGAGGGGACCAAGCAGTCGATGAGCGGCGAGGGGATTCCAGAAACACGGAGCAGCAACGAGGAAATACTTTTTAGCAAACAAAGTTTTAACAAAATAGATTTGACAAAAATCGGATTAAGGAGAGACGCCTCTGAGGTACGGGGGGGGGGGGGGGGTCCTTTATGGTAATTGGCGGATTTGTTTGAGAGGATCTGTTAGTGAGCGCCTATTAAAAACCGACACGGAGCTCGCTCCCCCGCCAAAGCGACCTCTGTGTCTCTCCAGTGCTGAAGTTTACACGCGACCGCACAACAAGGTACTCATTTAAGGCCGAGTCGACTCAGGGGAACACACAGGACCAGTCCGAACACCACTCGCTGATCACGTTATTTATGGCCGGGAATTCAACTCGGGCAGGCAGGACCGATAGCAGTAGAGTGGCAATGGAGCTACAAGTGCAGAGAACAGCAAAGTGCCACCGCTCACCCACAGAAACACAAAGACAAAGATCCCCCGTGTAGCCTTAATATACTGTTGGGCCAAGGGCTGTTATCGAGCACCTATTAAGGTCACGTCAGACGAGGGGGGGTGGGTGGTCACAGCAACTACGCCCGGCTACCTTTGTCTCCTGAGTGACGATGTTTACACACCGCACCAGGTACTCAATTGAGGCTGAGTCGACCTCGGGGAGCACCACAACCGGTTGGGATAACCGTCACTGGTGTTGTCTGTGAGCAGGAATCGAACTCCCGCTCCCCCAACACACGGACACACCAACAGCCGCCATTCGCCTCTAAGTGACGGTGATGTCACCACGGCGCCTGTGCCAGGCTAGGTGCACTTTGAGGCCACGTGACGTGTCGAAGGCCCGCTGACAGGAGGGCTCGGGACAGAACCAGGTGCCTTGGGTTCGCTGACTGAGATGACTGGTAGATGCACCCGCTGTACCCCGTACTTTTCCAACTTAGACACACACACAAAGATTCCCCGTATAGCCTTAACAGACTGTAGGGGCAAGTGCTGTTAGCGAGCACCTATAAAGTCCGGCACGGCACACGAGGGGGTGGGTGGCCAACACCACGCCCGCCCGCCTTTGTCTCCCTAGCGGCGATGTTTACGCCCCAGGTACTCATTTGAGGCTGAGTCGACCTAGGGGAGGCCCAGGACCGGTTCAGATAATCGTCGCTCGGTGTTGGCCGTGAGCGGGAATCGAACCCATGTCGCCGGGTTCGTAGTGCAGCGCGCTGACCACTAGACCACCGCTCCCCATGACACACACACGCACACACGCATGCGCACACGCGCAAGCACAGTGACTCATGGGCAGGAGACGCACGGGGCCACGCGTGTCGTGCGTTTTGTTTACCGTGTGACAGCAGCACATTGGAGCACTTGCACACCTGGTCCAGCAGCTCCTTGTAGGTGATCTGGCTGCAGTCCCCCGGTTCATTGCCCTCCCTGTGCACAAAGACAAAGCCCACCCACGTAGCCTCACACACCTGTTGGGGCAAGTGGCACTACTTTATGACGCAGGTGGTGTTTTATGAGCATTTCTCCTTGATTATTTTTTATTAAAATTGTTATGCTTGTTTGCCCAGGAAAGCCTCACCGAGTCTCAAGACTCGTTTTCAGGATGGTGCTGCCAAGTTTTCGCAGTCGGGGGCGATGTTGCCGCCATCCCAAATGAATAATTTGCAGGTGATGTTGCAGCGTTGTGATGTGTTGGCTCATGCCAGTTACATTTTACGTGTTTTTTTTTATTGACAATGGCAGGAAACCGGAGAACTTGCAGGAAACGCATGTTGAACAAAAGGGGAGAATACAAACGCTACGCAGAAAGGCGCCCCAGTCTTGAATTAAACCGAGGCCCTTCTTGCTGCGAGGCACAAATGTTGACCGCAGCGCCACCCTACTGCCCTTATCCAGTTAAGGTGGCCAAATTATTATTCATATCCAAATTCGCATCTGGTTGACGCACTATGACCAAGTAAAAATCCACTTCATGCCTATTACGAATGGTTACCAGCATCTTTAAGGTCCGGTTCAGACATCACTCGTCGCTGATGTTAGCCGTGGCCTGGAATTAAACCCTGGTCGCTGGGTTGGCACGGTGGTGCGGTTACTGCCACCCCACTGCTCCTAAGATGCCCCATATAGCCTTCACAGACTGTTGGGGCAAGTGTTGTTAGCGAGCACCTCCTTAAGGCCAGCACGGCCCACAAGGGGTTGGTTTGTGGCCAGAACCACGCCTGGATAATTAAATGTAATCGAATGTCATAATAAACCACGAATGAAGATGTACGTCAAAGCACGGAGTCAAACCTGAATTGCAGACGATTGTAGGAGTAAGTTGAGGAAAGGGAGGGGAGGGAGGGAGCGTTTGCAAAGTGGTTATACAAAGACGCAGGTCGCTTTTGTAAAGGAGACCGACTACCCTTGTCTCTTGAATGTTCACCTGGTTAAACAAAGCACACTTGAAATATCCCAAACACGCACCCCCCACACACACACAAACACCAACACGCACGCCCCCACTCAGAACAGAGCAAACACTTTTAAAGGTCTTGACGAGGAAACTGTAGATGTGCCCGGTTGATGCCGAATGGGCTCATAGTAGCCTCAATGGCCCTGTCAGAGACACTGATCCTGGGTCAAATCCGGGTTTCAGCTGCCTTTGATTAAACATCAGAATCTGTATTTACACTGGAGGAATCCGATGATGCTTCATAGCTAAGTGAACACGGGTTCTGGTCCTAGCCCGGTTACCAGTGGCTCACGTAGAGAGCCGTTGATTCACAGTGATCCATAGACTCACGCAGAGACTGATAGATGCACAAAGAGCCTCATAGACTCTCACAGAGCCCCATACATTCACATAAAGACCCATAGACTTAATACAGAGCCCCATAGACTCACATAAAGAACCAGAGACTCTCATAGAACCCCATTAGACTCCCATAGAGACTCATAGACTCAGACAGACTGAGTTGTGTTTAAATCGGGTTCTCAAGTGTAGCAAGTTGATGGTCTTAGCCCGGTCAACAAATGACCTGATAAGAAACCTCCATGCAGATTGGGCAGCATTGGTCCAAATCAAGCGGAAACCGGTCCACAGTATTGCTCTTCTTGGACCACTGGCTCAAGCAAGGCCGACTCTGCTCACGAGGCACTGAATGATGAAACCAGTCCACAGTTTTGATTGTGTGCAACACAATCCTGCTGAAATGTCTACACTCGAAAGGAATGCCATGTGGCCGATGGGATGTGTGTAAGAAGGGCACCCCGGTGGCGAGATGTTAACTATGCTGCCTTATATGCAGGAGATCGTGGGTTCGATCCCAACCCTGATGCCTGCATCTATTATAAAAATCCGGCAGTCCATTTTTCCATTCGTCCGTCAACCAAATTAGAAGAGCATTCAGACGCTGTCTCCCCGACAGACCTGGTCTTCACCTGAGGACGGCTGCTTGCGTTGTGGCCGAAACGTCGTGAGAATTATTTTATTATGTTTTATTTTTATTATTTTATTACTTCACTTCTACGTGACTTTACCGAAAGAACCAAGAAGATGAATCCCTGCAGTCACGAAAGCTTTAAATCGAAATTTAATATAAGAGCCTTTCAGAAGGCCTGAATGTAAAAGTTATAGGAAGTGGACCCCCCCCCAGATGTGTGGGGGTAAAAAGTTGATCCAGAAGAGTTCCAAAATATGTCGACCCCCCAAAAAAACACGTTCCTTCGGAGTGGGCAGGTAGGAACTTGGTTGGACAGCACATTCGTGCGATCCGTGTCACGCGGCGCAAGCTGTGTGGGGCGGCGCATCACGTGGTGCTGAGCCCGCCCGAAGCGCTCTATGAAATACAAATCGAGGGCGTGGCTATGCACGACAGACAGACAAATAATCCCTAGTGGGCAGTGTGGAACTGTTGTTCCTACCTGTATAATTAAGATTGTCCTTCATCTTCACCTCCGATTAGCACGGTTGGGTATGCACGGTGCAAAAGAAATTCAACACACAAACATACATCGAACTGCTATCAACAACAGCAGCAGAGTGCAAGGGTCGTCTCTAAGCGATCAGACGATTATGTCAATGTTAAGCTGTCAATCCACTGCTGGATGAATGCCACCCCCCCGACCTCCCCCGTGCTGTGTTGGCTCTCGGGGGGCTGTTTTACCGAACAGTATTCGCTCAAACAGGCAAGTGTTGGAAATTCCACATTACCGTGGTAGTGGTGGAAAGAATTGTCCATAGGACGACCAGTGTTAATGTTACAAATTGTGGTATTCGTTTTAACGACCCTGGATGGATGATAATGATGGGCTGAGATGACCTCTTGAATGCGATTTCAACTGGCTGAGAGCTGAGGGCACCATCGATACAGACCTCCACCACCAACGAATATCTGCGATTCAAGGCAGCGGCTTGGGAGAAAAACGTGCGGCACTGTAATTCATCAAATAAAAAAAACGTGAGCTGCAGAATCAATATCAATATCCGTCTCGTGAACATGCGCACTCAGCCTCTCTGCCTGTGTCTTCGTCTCTGTGTGTGTGTGTATGTATCTGTGTGTATGTCTCGGTCTGCCTGTGTGTTGGATTGTCACAGGAAATCTGTCTCTTTGTGCGTATGTCTATCCATTTCTCAGTCTCTCTCTCAATTTGTGGACATCTGTTTGTATATTTAATGATCGGTTGTCCTTCTCCGTGTGTGTCTGTCTGTGTGTCTCTCTCGGTCATCTCGGTCAGTCGACCCGTGGCACCTGCTGGGTCTGCCCCGTGACCTCCTGCCAGCGGGCGTTCGACACTTCACGTGGCCTCAAGGTGCACTTGGCCTGGCACAAGCGTCGTGGTGACGTCACCGCCACTTAGTGGCGAATGGCGGTTGTTGTTGTTGTTGTTGTCTCTCTCAAGATGTACGTTTATCATCCTCTTTATCCGTCTCTGCATCTGTCACTCACTCTCAGTGTCTCTGTAAACCTGTCCATCTATTCCTCTGTCTCCCTTTGTTTGTGTGTTGTCTGTCTCTCTCAATGTGTCAATCACTGACTCGGCCTCTCTGTCTTTCCCTGCCCTTCCCCCCCCGTACCCCTCCTTGCCCTTCGTGGCCCCGAGTGTGAGCCAGTCTGGGCGCTGCCCGGATCCAGCTGTAGTCCGGGTAGCGGGCTGACATTGACAGCACAAACACGTCGCTGGAATTCATGGCCAGGACCAAAGACAAAGTTCCCCCGTATAGCCTGAATAGACTGTTTGGGCAAGTGGGCTTAGCGGGAACCTATGAAGGCCGGAATGGCACATGAGGGGGTGAGTGGCCAGCACCACGCCTGGCCGCCTTTGTCTCCCCAGTGAGGATGTTTACACACCGCACCAGGTATTCATTTGAGGCTGAGTCGACCCAAGGAAGACCCAGGACCGGTTCAGAAAATGGTCACCGGTGTTGGCCGTGAGCGGGAATCAAACTCGGGTCGCCGGGTTCATAGTGCAGCACACTAACCGCTACACGACTGCCACGTCACACAAACGCGCACGCACGGATGTACACACACGCGCCTACCAGCCAGGGCTCACTGTGGGTCTGCACGAGTGTGGCTCCGTGTTTGTATGCACTCTGAATGTGTGTGTGTATGTGTTTACGTGTGTATAAGTGAGTGGGGAGCGGTAGTGTAGTGGTTATTGTGCTGCGCTATGAATTCGCAGACCTGAGTTAGATTACCACTCACGACCAACACCAGTGACAATTATATAAACCGGTCCTGGGCCTCCCCTAGGTCGAGTCAACCCCAAATGAGTACCTGGTGTGATGTGAAAATATCGCCACTGGGGAGACAAAAGCGGCCGGGCGTGGTGCTGGCCACCCACCCCCAAGTGTGCTGTTCCGGCCTTCATAGGTGCTCGCTAACAGCACTTGCCCCAAAAAATTGTTGAGGCTATACGGGGGATCTTTGCCTTTGTATCGTGCTTGAATGCCTTTATGTATATATGTTTAACTTCTTTCGCACCATACGTAGCCAACCGTGATAATCCGACGTGTGTGTTTGTATGCATGTATGTACGTGTGTGTGTGCATGGAGGATGATAGTGAAGCACGCGACTGTGCAGTTGGAGGCAGTTGCCCTCCAACAGCGGAGGAGCGACGCTCATGACAAAGAGCAAAGCGCTGTGCTAGCGAGTCATCTCAAGCCAGTCAAACCACGGTACACCTGGGTCTGTCCCATGACCTCGTGTCAACGATCCTTCGACACTTCACGTGGCCTCAAAGTGGCGCTCGCTCACAGCACTTGCCCCAAAAGTCAGTTACAGGCTATATGGGGAGTCTTTGTTTTCTGCCTGTTCCTGTGTGCACTACCTCTGTGTTTGTCCCCTTGTGTGTTTGCGCGCGTCTTTGCACGTTTGTGCGTTTTTGTCCATACGTGCATGTAAGTTTGCATGTGTGTACATGTGTAATTTGCCAGTGGTTGGCATGCATCTATCTCTCCGTGTCAATAAAATATACAACATCAACATCATTCATTATCCATACCACACCTCGAATGCATTACACCTCAAGGCACCCAGAGCAAAGGAGCAATGAGACAATTACTCGGCAAGGAAGTGATTGCAGACCAAATGCAATGTGCGTGAACGATGCAGGCGAGATAATGTACACAGCAAAAAAAATGTTTTACTAAATCGAAAAAGCTAAGATGTGCCTGACTGACCAAGTAAATCCAACATTTTCTTAAATAACAACACTGCGTGTGTGTGACCTTTAAGGTAAAAAATTATATAACAGGCAACGCGGTGGCGAAGAGATTTTATCTCCCACGCCTGTTACGCAGGAGGTCGTGAGTTTGATGCCGCACCCTGACAATGCCTGTTGTTGTATATCTGGAGGTCTGCGTGTTCTCTCTCTCTCTTCCCGTGGTCATCACGTGGATCGTTCTCAGGGTTCCTCCTCTGGTTTTGCCCCCCCCCCTACTCCACATTTAGATTATTTGGCTGCTCCTATAAATTCCCACATACGCTATAAGTCACTTGACTATCACGTGTGGCCGGGCCACCTCTGAAAAACAGCGTAATAGCTCAGTGGGCTTTACCTGGTAAAATAAATTCGTTTTAGTTAATTTTACAGCCCATTGAAAAGAGAGGCCAGAAGGGAGACAGAGTGGATGATAAGGTTTGGAGGACTGGACTTGCTTACTACACCTTTGGGGGGGCCTGATGAGAATTACATTTGAAACATGTTTTAACATAGTGCACTACCATAATCGATATTAAATAAAATACATTTCCTAGTTTCCAATAAAATACATTTACTGTCAATTACAAATCTCACACACACCGACCGGATACTAATCACGTACGTGTGTATATTGAACTTCTTTCGCATCGTACGTAGGCTGCGAGAGATAATATTTACGACGACTATCGACAATATTAACTCTGCCAGAGAAGAGGAGCGGTCGCGGAGTGAATTCCGCCCACCGCGGCCGTGATGGATGGAATATCGGTCCGCTTGCTCGCCCGCCCAATCACCCACTCGCTCGTCCCCACCACTCCCGGAAATTAGAAGCCTCGCTCGACCTCGCTCGGGCGATTGCCGGCGGAGATTTTAATCTGCTAAGTTGAGCTGATTGATGAGCACTTTCTTGGCCACGCGACCCCAACGCGCATTCAATCACTAAAATAACCACGCGAGCGCACACACACACAACGTGCACAATAAAAATAACCTCGCGCGGTGGGCTGTGTCAAAATATTGATTTGTTTGGTTTTGTTTCTGACGTCATTGAACTGGCCGCATCGGTGGAAGTGGTCACATAGACTGACGCATGACGCAAAGGTTTATCATCATCGCGAGCCGCGATCTATCCTCTGCTGGAAGAAGGCCACCCCCGTCAAAGCCGTCGCCATCTCTCTCCGCGATGTAACTATAAAAGTAAACGTTGGGCCTTGGTTTGGCCCTTGGCTTGGGCCTTGGCTTGGGCCTTGGTTTGGGCCTTGGTTTGGGCCTTGGTTTGGGCCTTGGCTTGGGCCTTGGCTTGGGCCTTGGCTTGGGCCTTGGCTTGGGCCTTGGCTTGGGCCTTGGCTTGGGCCTTGGTTTGGGCCTTGGCTTGGGCCTTGCTGGGCCTGGTTTGGGCTTTGCTTGGGCCTTGGTTTGGGCCTGGTTGGGCCTTGGCTGGGCCTTGGCTTGGGCCTTGGCTTGGGCCTTGGCTTGGGCCTTGGCTTGGGCCTTGGCTTGGGCCTTGGCTTGGGCCTTGGGTTGGGCCTTGGCTTGGGCCTTGGCTTGGGCCTTGGCTTGGGCCTTGGTTTGGGCCTTGGTTTGGGCCTTGGCTTGGGCCTTGGCTTGGGCCTTGGCTTGGGCCTTGGTTTGGGGCTTGGTTTGGGCCTTGGTTTGGGCCTTGGCTTGGGCCTTGGCTTGGGCCTTGGCTTGGGCCTTGGCTTGGGCCTTGGCTTGGGCCTTGGCTTGGGCCTTGGCTTGGGCCTTGGCTTGGGCCTTGGCTTGGGCCTTGGCTTGGGCCTTGGCTTGGGCCTTGGCTTGGGCCTTGGTTTGGGCCTTGGTTTGGGCCTTGGTTTGGGCCTTGGCTTGGGCCTTGGTTTGGGCCTTGGTTTGGGCCTTGGTTTGGGCCGGACACCATCTCCAAGAGGAGTTGATGGCCGGTGGTCGAGACTTACGAGTGGCAACCAAAGGCGGGAAACATGTCCCATAGGACGTCCAACAACAGAGATGGGAAAAATATCCAGGTTGGGTATCATTGTCATCATCATAATCATCATTCCTCTTGAGTTTTTTTCCTGTTTAATTTTTCTTGTTTTTTTAAATCACCAGCTCCAATTGTACTATCAGCACTTCTTGAGAAGAACACATGCCATAGCACCACCACTGTTGACTTCTGCACAAAGTGGTACTCATTCTACCAACTCCCCGAAGGATGATAGGCTGAATCACCCCACCCCCTCCCCTGCACCAGGATATAAACTCACAAACTTTCAATTCAGTTCACGTACCCAGACCAGATACCCCACTTATCAGTACCACCCGAGGTGGCATCACTTGAGCGGGTTCCAATTTTTACCATGTGTGCCATCGCCGCGAATCGTGCGATAACCACTTGAAAAGAGTGGGGCTGCCGCGTCGATCAACTCGCATGACTAAATGCGCCGCTACCTTGGGCCTATCTAGATTTGAAGTTTTTGTGACTGCAGGGATCCATACTCTTTGGTTCTTCCGGTAAAGTCACGTAGGTATAAAATAAATTAAATCACGACGTTTCGGGCGCAACACAAGCGTCCGTCATCAGGTGGGACAACCACAGCACGTGACTTTACCGAAGAACCAAAGAGTATGGATACCTTGGGCCTGGCACCGATTTCCACTCCCCTGGGCTGTGGACGGTAACTGCGATTCGCTCGCTCACCACCCACTGAGCCAACCTTGGGGCGGACTGAGAACTCGCGAGGCCAGAGGAGCCTCACCGCAGAAAGCAGCCCGGTCGCATGTCGTGCAAAAAATTCACCGTGCGCGGGAGCGTTTTTAGGCACCGGCATTTTGCCGGCGGTCGCTCACCAGTAGAAGGCGACCTTGTCGCCGAGTTTGTGCCGGTGGACGTTCAGGTCGAGCACGTTGTAGCAGGCGTTGGTGGTGGCCCCCTTCATCCACTTGATGGACACGGGGCCCTGCCCAGGGTCGAAGTTGTACTCAAGGCTGGGGCCCGTCGGCAGGGTCTCCCAGTGGAAGTCCTTCGCCACCTCCGCCCAGTACTCTGCACACAGTGACAAAGATCCCAATCCAGTGTAGGCTTAGCAGACCGTCCGGACAAGTGCTGTTAAGGAGAGCCACGGGCAGAGCTGGTTTGATATCACCTGAACACTGATGGTGGCCACGGTCAGGAAACTAATCTCAGATGCCTCCGATTAAAAACTGGGTTCTCAAGTGTGGCGAGTTAATGGTCTGAGACCGGTTACCAATGACATGCATACAGATTCACAAACTCATGTCGAGATTCGTATAGAGATTAACACATTTCTGCGGAGGGAGCTGGTAGGAACGTTGGGTTGCTCGGTCAATGGCCAGGGTCAACGGCGGCGTGGTGTATTCCGCATCCAACCCCACCCCTCTCACCCCCCACCCTCCCCACTCTCCCCACCCAGCCCCTCCCCACCCAGCCCCTCCCCACCCAGCCCCTCCCCACCCTCCCCACCCAGCAACACCCTCCCCATCCAGCCCCACCCTCCCCACCCAGCCCCACCCTCCCCACCCAGCCCCACCCTCCCCACCCTCCCCATCCAGCCCCACCCTCCACACCCAGCCCCACCCTCCCCACCCAGCCCCACCCTCCCCACCCAGCCCCACCCTCCCCATCCAGCCCCACCCTCCCCACCCAGCCCCTCCCTCCCCACCCAGCCCCTCCCTGCACGACGGATGGACAGAATAATCCCCTGTGGGCTGGTGTAACCAGGAGTTTCCTACCAGTAATAGCCTCACATAAGAGACAGATAGACCCACAGAGAGATGCGTAGACTTAAAAAGCGATCAGGCTGTAACAAAACTGGATGCTCAAGTGTAGTGAGTTTATGGTCTCAGCCGGTCACCAATGACTGCACAACAAAAAAAAACATTACCATTCATTGGTTTTTCACTTAATTTGGATTGAGAGCGCGGATTGGGGGGGCACATTTAGATGGCGAAATGGGAGCGCAGATTTGAAGCCAGGATTGGGAGTGCGGATTGGGAGCATGAATTAGGAGCACGGATTGAGAGCACGGATTGAGAGTGCGGGTAAGGAGCGAGGATTAGAAGCGCGGATAAAGAGTGCGGATTGAGAGCATGGATTCGGCATGAGGATAAGAGCAGGAAATTGGGAGTGGGAATTCGGAGTGCAGCTAAGTAGCACGGATTAGGAAGCACGGATTGGAATGCACGGATTGGAAGCCCGGATTGGGAGCACAGATTAGAAACACAGATTGGTACTGCACCTGAGTAGATATTTTGTATAGTTTGTAAACAATCTCTACAGCTCCCCCCCCCATCCCATCGAGGGGGCCCCTTCTGCCATTTGGTGGCGAGAACAGCAATTGCAGGGATGCGCCTTTACCTTTTAATCAGTTCCCAAGCGCGTGCGCATTCGCGATTGGACATCGAGCGAGGGCGGCGGTAAAGGATTGCTTCGGCGCCTCCCATCTTGACAATATTTGCGTCGGCACAAAACCTCGCGGAATGAGCCCTTTGAGGCACCCGGTGACGTGGCCAACCTCACAAATGTCACGTACAATAGGAGTAAGAATAACAATAACAAGAGAAAAAATCCAACGTGTAGCCTTAACAGACTGTTGGGGCAAATGATGTTAGCGAGTAGCACCTATGAAAGCCGGCGCGGCACACGAGGTGGGGTGGGTGGGCCAGCACCACGCTCGGCCGCCTTTGTCTCCCCAGTGGTGATGTTTGCACATGGCAAGAGGTGCTCATTTGGAGGTGAATCGACCTAGGGGAGTCCCAGGAACGGTTCAGATAATCACTGGTGTTGGCCGTGAGCGAGTTTGTAGCGCAGTGCTATGAACAGCATCAATACCACTCGGCGCAGAATGTCGCTTTACTCAACACAACAAAGATCCCCCATATAGCCTTAACAGACTGTAGGGGCAAGTGCTGTTAGCGAGCACCTATGAAGGCCGGAACGGTACACAAGGGGGTGGGTGGCCAGCACCACGCCCGACCGCCTTTGTTTCCCTAGCGGCGATGTTTACACACCGCACCAGGTACTCATTTGAGGCTGAGTCGACCTAGGGGAGGCCCAGGACCGGTTCAGATAATCGTCACTCGCGTTTGCCGTGAGCGGGAATCGAATCCGGGTCGCCAGGTTCGTAGTGCAGCGCGCTGACCGCTACACCACCGCTCCCCCTCAACACAACCACCCACACACGCGCATGCGTGCGTGCATGCATGCATCAAAGCCCAAGAGCAAATTCATGGACGCGAGCAATGTGGTTTTCACTTAAACGCAATCCTTGCGATTGTGTAATGAAAATAACACGCATGCTGCGGTCAACAGGTCAAGTCGGAGAGTTTTATTTTGTGTAACCAATCGAGAACTCAAGACACCAGGATGGAGTTTCATTTGCATGAGTGACTGAATTAATGAATGAGTAAGATAACGAGCGACGAGAGGGTTAAGTTGAAGTTAATTTGGTGTAACCAGGTAAGAACTCAAATCGACCAAGATAGACTCTCATTAGCATGAGTGAGTGAATGGGTGAATGAGTGAGTGAATGAATGAATGAACGAACGAGATGATGAGTGAGCGGTGCAAGTCAACCCAGTCAGAGCTCAGGAGAGATCAGGATTGGGTTTCATTTGGCACGAGAGAATCAGGTGAAATTAATTCTAGATTTGAAGTTTTTGTGACTGCAAGGATCCACTCTCTTTTTTTGGTGACATTACCGAAAAACCAAAGAGGACAGGTGAAATTCATCCATTTATTCCAACCTTCTGTGAGCTTCCCGCCCCAACTCCGTATACCTGCAAGGCCTGGCCCCCACAATCCATTCTACTCCCTGAGAGCACACAAAAATGAGTCCGTAATGGAGCAATCCAAATGTATCTTCCTGCAGGTCTCCCCTCTCTCCAACGTAGGACCCGGTACAGCGTCTACAAGTGTGAATGTAGGATCGTGAGGATTACACACAGCGGGATTCATCACACCCCCCCCCACCGCCCTACCAGCACACTAGTGTCCACTTGCAGGCCAGGTGCCTGCAAGTGGACACTAGTAGCGCGCTTCCTCCCCTAACCCAGCTTAAATATACGCTGCCAAGCCTGGTGGTGTTCATTCAGACGCTGTCTTTCCGACAGACCTGTTCTTCACCTGAGGACGGCTGCTTGCGTTGTGGCCGAAACGTCGTGAGAATTGTAGTTGGTTATGTTTAATTTGAATTATTTTATTATTTCCCTTCTACGTGACTTTACCGAAAGAACCAAGAAGAAGTCACCTTGTGTTGCACAGAGACAAGCTCCCACTGGTGGAGCCCTTTCAAATGTTGGAGATGAGACTTAATGCATGCGATTTCGGTGCAATACGTCTCAAAACGTTTTGGGCACTATGGCCTTTCTTTCCGCATGCATCAACACTCATTCATGGATTTCAACTATGAGACCTCCTTTACCGGTGGCAAAATATAGTGTGGACCAATCAACTTCAAGGACAGTGCATATCATTATCAGAGTTGTTTCGTTTTGTTTGTATTTTGACTGCTTGTGTTGTGGTTATTGCAAACATGATGCCTTGTATAAAGGTGTCAGTTTTTGTACCAGTTGAAAGGGTAAACACCTATTACTATATTGTGCCACTGGTAAAGGAGGTCTCATAGTGTAAATGCTTACCCCGAGCTCTCAATACTCTGATAGTGCGCTGTTTTTGAGTTGTACGCCTTTTGGCGTCATCTGGTCCAACACCATGTGAGACCAGGCTCTAAGAAAAGCTGTTTCGGGTGTGGACCAATCAACTTCAAGGACAGTGCATATCATTATCATCATCAGAGTTGTTTCTTTTTGTTTGCATTTTGACTGCTTGTGTTGTGGTTATTGCAAACATGATGCCTTGTATAAAGGTGTCAGTTTTTGTACCAGTTGAAAGGGTAAAAACCTATTACTATAAACTCATTAATGGAGTTGGCCCAAAAAAGACGTCCCACTATAGGGCCATGGAGCACGGGCATTCGATGGGAGCACTGGTTCGGGATGCCTTCACCTGTGGTTTCCCGTGCCTCCGTGTGAATAATGCGTGGTGCGCGTTGCAAGTGTCAAGCTTATTTTATTTGCACACAGATTGATCCCGTTCAGCCAGTTTCACGGCTATTCAACAGAGGAGATCCGTGGTGGGGCGAGAGCACAGCAACAACAATGCAACCTAAGGCGTTTTGTAACGCAACCTGTACGGATCATGCAATACGATAATGATCGTTATTGAAAAGAACCCGTAGAAATCATTGGCGGGGCTGGAGTTGAGCTTGAATTGTCAACCTGTACTAACCAGCTAAGTCTGACCACTCAGAACCAGGGTGGCGGAGAGGGGGGTGGAGTAAGGAGGAGTGGGAGGTGGAAGGAAGCGATTATTGCGCTGTGCTACGAACCCGGTGACCACGAATATCTGAATCGGTCCTGGGACTGCCTGACGTCGACTCAGCCTCAAATAAGTACCTGGTGCAATTTGTAAACATTTCCTCTCGGGAGACAAAGGCAGTCGGGCGTGGTGCTAGCCACCTATGCCCTCGTGTGCCGTGCCGGCCTTCATAGGCACTCGCTAACAACACTTGCCCCAACTGCCTGTTAAAGCTATACGGGAGATATTTATTTAAATCCTTTATATTAAGTTCGCTTGCTTGCGCGCTTACGACCGTGCAAATCTTTCTGTCGTTTTTTAACCCACTTCCCGTGATCCAATCGAGCTGACATTTTCCATACAGACTCGTTGTGCGTGACAATTTATTTTCCTGAAAAACATTTTGCAAAATGTTACACTTTTTAGGAAAAAAAATATTATATTTAATTACCAATTGCTTAATGCTGCCAGGTAATCATCTGACCCATAGGTGGCAGCCATCTCAAGCCAGAGGACGAGAGGACTCTAGCCGCCACGCATATAAAGGATTTATAGTGAAAAACTTTGTTTCTACGGGTTAATTTTTTTTTGTCTTGGCATGGGAGAAATAAGCGCTTTAGAAAAAAAACTAATGCAATTGCAAAGTGCGGCCCTGCTGCCCAGAGGAG